TCATGTTGGCCAGGCTGGTCTCAAATTCCTGACCTCAGGTGATCCAACACGCCTCGGCCTCCCAGAATGCTGGGATTACAGGCGTGGAGCCACCGCGCCCAGCCCCTGGGCAAAATTTCTAAGCCACAGCTCTGGAAGTGGGGCTGGGAAAAGAGGCCCTTCTTTTAGAGTGACATTCCTGCTTTATGAGCAGGGTGCTAGATGAAGACAGTAGCTTCTGTTCTTTTTAGCTTGCCTCTCCTGGCATGAAATCTCTGTTCTATATGAGTAGGCTGCAGTGAGAAAAATTGGGGACCCAGTATTCTCAGCCTCCCACAACTGGGGCAGAGTCTTTGCCTTATGAATGGAGGCAAGGTGGAAGGACTGGGCCTCCACCTCTTGGCCACACTCACTGGGAATTTCACCTCTGCAATATGGAACTGAAAGGATGAAAAATGCTGGCAGCCTGCCTTTCCCAGGGAGATGCTATAGGCCCTTGACTGGGTTCTATAGGGGGTACAGCAAGTTGTGGCTGAAGTGCCACAGAAACTTGCTCCTTTTGATAAGATTTAGTAGATTTTTAAAAAAAAATATTTATTCATTTGCTCTATAGTCTGAGGACAATTTCCAAAGGTTGGTTTGTTTGTTTTAACTATAGGGGTGCAACTGTGGCTACTGCAGCCTCAAACTCCTGGACTCAAGTAATCCTCTTGCCTCAACCTCCCAAAGTGCTGGGATTACAGACGTGAGCCACCGCACCCTGCGGAAAATTATTTTTTCAAGAAGTCACATCTTTAGAGCCAGGTGTGGTGGCTCACACCTGTAATCCTAGTACTTTGGGAGGCCAGGGCGGTGGATCACTTGAGGTAAACAGTTCAAGACCAGCCTGGTCAACACAGTGAAACCCCGTCTCTACTAAAAATACAAAAAATTAGCTAGATGCAGTGGTAGGTGCCTGCAATCCCTGCTACTCGGGAGACTGAGGCAGGAGAATCACTTGAACCCAGGAGGTGGAGGCTGCAGTGAGCTGAGATCACACCACTGCACTCCAGTCTGGGTGACAAGAGCAAAACTCCATCTGAAAAAAAAAAAAAGAAAGAAAAAATAATTTTCACCAATTATGGTTGTTTCACTGGTCTGTGGAGCTCCTCATATTGCTATTCCAGAAGTCATCTCTCACTTAATTCGTATAAGGTCTTTTAACCTATACACCAACTTTTGTTTATATACACCAACTCTTCACTTAAAGCAGCCAACTAATAAAGAAATATGGCTATTCTCAAGAGCTCTGTTTTATTCCCACCACAAATCATGGAACATTTTGAAACACCTATTTCAAAAGCTGTAAGAAAACAATTAAAGAAACAGTAGCTCTAACTCTATTCTTTTCTAGCATAAATTGCAAGGTTATTCTGTTCCTGCCTAAAAAGCATCCAAACATCATGACTGAAACCAAAAATTAAAGGCAAAAATAGTTTATGCTATATGTAATCATAATTTTGTGACTGACATATACTGAGGAAAAGCATTTTTTTACTCTAGTTTTAAGAAAACTGCAAAGTAGTGAAACGTTGTTGGAAAAAAAGTATAAAAGTATGTAAAATGAAGATGGAACTTTTCCATTTCTTCTCCAAGCAGCCACTATTAACAGTTTGTGATCTATTTCTTTGCATATATTAAAAACAGAAGTACACATTTTTTGTTTTATTTCTCTACAAGAAAGGGAAAAAATTATATACTCTTTTGCAATTTGTATTTTTTCACTCAGTATATAATAGCATCCATCCTTTTAGGTCCTTATATACAAATGACTTTCTTTTTCTTGGCTGCCAATATTTCACAGCATGGATTTACCAGAATTCTGTTGAATATTTACATTTTTACTTTTTGAGATGGAGTTTTGTTCTTGTTGCCCAGGTTGGAGTACAATGGCATGATCTCAGCTCACCACAATCTCCACCTCCCGGGTTCAAGAGATTCTCTTGCCTCAGCCTCCCGAGTAGCTGGGATTACAGCCATGCGCCACCACACCTGGCTAATTTTTTGTATTTTTAGTAGAGACAGGGTTTCTCCATGCTGGTCAGGCTGATCTCGAACTCCTGACCTCAGGTGATCCACCTGCCTCGGCCTCCTCAAGTGCTTGGATTACAGGCATAAGAAACCGTGCCCAGCCTACATTTTTTTCATTTTTATCAAAAATCCTTGCTGGGAACAGTGGCTCACAACTGTAATCCCAGCACTTTGGGAGGCTGAGGCCAGAGGATTGTTCAATTAGTCAAGTATGCATGCCTGTGATCCCAGCTACTCAGGAGGCTGAGGCAGGAGGATGACTTAAGCCCCAGAGGTTGAGACTACAGTGCACCAGTACACACTAGCAAGGCAACAGATGCCCAGGCTGGAGTGCAATGGCGCTATCTCGGCTAACTGCAACCTCTGCTTTCTGGGTTCAAGCAATTCTCCTGCCTCAGCCTCTCGAGTAGCTGGGATTACGGGTGTGACCACCAAGCCTGGCTAACTTTTTTTTGTATTTTTAGTAGAGACGGGGTTTCACCATATTGGCTAGGCTGGTCTTGAACTCCTGACCTCAAGTGATCCGCCTGCCTCTAACTCCCAAAGTGCTGGGATTACAGGCATGAGCCACCGCGCCAGGCCTACATTTAAATATAAAGTTATATTTCACTTAATACTAATATGACTGAGCTTTTAAAATATGTTTATATTACAGACTGAGTTGTGTCACCCCCGAATTCGTATGTTGAGGCCCTAATTGCCAATGTGACTCTATTTGGAGATAAGGCCTTTAAAGAAATAATTAAGGTTACATGAGGACATAAGAGTGGGGCCCTAATGTTTTTTTGTTTTTGTTGAGATGGAGTCTTGCTCTGTCGCCCAGGTTGGAGTGCAGTGGAGCGATTTCGGCTCACTGCAACCTCTGCCTCCCAGGTTCAAGCAATTCTCTGCCTCAGCGTCCTGAGTAGCTGAGATTACAGGCGCCCACCAACACGCCCAGCTGAATTTTGTATTTTTAGTGGAGAGAACCAAGACCATCTTGACCAGGCTGGTCTTGAACTCCTGACCTCGTGATCCACCTGCCCTCAGCCTCCCAAAGTGCTGGGATTACAGGCATACACCACCGCGCCTGGCCAAGTGGGGCCCTAACCTAATACGGCTGATGTCTTTATAAGAAAAGGAGACACCAGGAATGTGTGCATGTGCATGCAAACACACAGCGAAAAGGTTATGTGAGGGTACAGCAAGAAGGCTGCCATCTACAAGCCAAAGAGAGGCCTCAGAAGAAACCAAACCTGCTGATATCTTTCTAGATTTTAGACTTTCAGCCTCCAGAACTGTGAGAAAATAAATTTCTGTTGTTAAAGCCACCCAGTCTGTGGTATTTTATTATGGCGGCCCTGGCAAACTAATACAGTTTGAAAGTCACTTAATGTTTTTAAAATGAATTACCTATTAATATCATTTGCTCATTTATCTACTGAATTGTATTTTTCTTATTGACTCATAAGGCTTTTGAATACATGAATAATAACCCTTTAAACACCTTGTAAAACATATATTCTAAAAGAGTAAAAATGAAGCCACAATCCTTAAGACCAGTCAGTAACCATCAATACAACTGAACTTATGATCCTATACCAATACATCTAACTTACTCTTCTGCTACATACAATTTACTCTCAAAACACCCAATCAAATTTTTACTTGATAGCAAAATCACCAAAAAAATTACTCAACTCAGTTGAGACCTGTCACAGTTAAAAACAGGTCAGTACAATAGCAAATCACTTTTTCATTTTTGTGTGTGTGTATGTGTGTGTACTTTTTTTTTTAAACAGCAAATCACTTTGAATTAATTAAAACTTTAAAAATAAAGCAAAATAATTTGCTTTTCTCTAACTCTAGGGGAATTTAATTCTGTTTATTTTCTTTTCTTTTTTTTTTTTTCCCCCAGCAGTCCATTCTTTATTACAGAACAGGATCCTACAGTATGGATGGACTGTGCCACAATTTGCTCATCCAGTCACCTATGGATGCGTATTTGAGTTGTTCCCATTTTGAGTCTTTTATGTCTTTGTTTTTGTTTTTGTTTGAGACAGAGTCTCGCTCTGTCGCCCAGGCTGGAGTGCAGTGGCACAATCTCGGCTCACTGCAAGCTCCGCCTCCCGGGTTCACGCCATTCTCCTGCCTCAGCTTCCCAAGTAGCTGGGACTACAGGCTGCACGCACCCACCCCCGCTAATTTGTAATTTAGTAGGAGACGGGGTTTCAACCATGTTAGGCCAGGGATGGTCTGAACTTCCTGACCTCATGAATCCACCCGGCTCGGCTCCCAAAGTGGCTTGGGATTACAGCGTGAGCCCACCGCGCCCGGCGTTGGTTTTGTTTGGTTTTGTTTGAGATACCAGTCCTTGTTCTGGCACCAGGCTGGGAGTGCACTGGCATGATCTCAGCTCACTGCAGCCTTTGCTGCCGTGTTCAAGGCGATTTTCGAGCCTTCAGCCTCCGAGTAGGCTGGGATTACAGGGCCACCTGGCCCCACACCTGTAAGTTTTGTATTTTTTTTTATTTTTTTTGAGGACGGAGTCTCGCTTCTTCATCCCCAGGCCGGAAGTTCAGTGGCGCGATCTCGGTCACGCAGGCCCTCCGCCTCCCGGTTCCCGCCATTCTCTGCCTCAGGCCTCCCGAGAGCTGGGGACTCACAGGCGGCCCACAACTGCGCTCCGGCTATTTTTGTATTTTTAGTAACACGGGGTCACGTTGGGTGCGATCTCCTGACCTTGTGATCCGCCCGCCTCGGCCTCCCAAAATGCTGGGATTACAGGCGTGAGCCACCGTGCCCGGCCAAGTTTTGTATTTTTAATAGAGATAGGATTTCACCATGTTGGCCAGGCTGGTCTCCAACTCTTGGCCGCAAGTGATCCGCTGGCCTAGGCCTCCCAAAGTGCTGGCATTATAGGCGTGAGCCACGGGACCCGGCTGTTATGTCTTTAATTCTATTTTACTTACTAAAATTCCTCCATGAGACATACAGAGGTTCTCTTGGTTCCTGATGAAGGTTGATATTATCCCATAACAGCTGAATATACACAAGTTTGCTATCCTGGGACAGAGATGACAGAGGAAGCTAAAATAAATCAAAAGAAAGTATTAGTATCCCAAGAATAATAATTACCAGTGGATCTAATGAAGCTTGATTATATAACAGATGAGTCCTTTTAAAATTCTGGACCTAAAATTCAGAGCCAAAATATTAATTTTTATTAATGTCTGATGACAAATGTTGTTATTATTTTCTGAGGTAAAGGTTTCTCACTGTGACTTTTAAGAAATAGGATGACAATTTGCTAACTGACACAATGGTTGTAGAAAGATTAACCATCATTACAGCAAATTTTAAGGTCAAAGTACAAGAGTTTCTACTACCTTACCAAATAATTTTATTTTACCTACCTAATCAAACTAGAGTTTATAGTACTTTAAGGAAAGATTTTATTTTGCCCCATGTATATGTTTGGGGTCTCAGTGTCTATCAATATTAATACTATAAAATAAAGCACTCTAGGAGCTCACTGTCTCCAATGGAATCAGGATCCCAGCATAAGTAGAGTTGGGGCTTTTAAGTCAGACAGCCAGAAAGTGACCTTGGGTCTCCATCACTTATTGGGTATGCCACCTTACAGAAATTACTAAATTTCTCCAACTTTTAATTATAACACCTGAAAAATATGGAAAATATGAGTCCTTTCAAATAAGGTTGTTGCGAGAATTGCAGCTAGGAACAGAACAGTTAGGAATAATAGCTACCAGCCAGGCACGGTCGCTCACGCCTGTAATCCCAGCAGTTTGGGAGGCTGAGGCAGGTGGATTGCCTTAGGTCAGGAGTTCAAACCAGCCTGGTCAACATGGTAAAATCCTGTCTCTACCAAAAATATAAAAATTAACTGGATGTGGTGATTGGTGCCTATAATCCCAGCTACACGGGAGGCTGAGGCAAGAGAATCACTTGAACCCAGAAGGAGGCTGCAGTGAGTCGAGATCACACCACTGCACTCCAGCCTGGGCAACATTTTCCAGCTACCCTCGCAGACAGATACGACCTAATAACTGACTTCAGGCCAAGAAACTGTATGTTGGAATATTATCTACAACTCCAGGAGCTATCCCTTAAGAAAAAAGACATACTCTTCCCTCATCCATTTTTCTCCTAACTGCTGGATAGAAGGTGGATGTGACAGCTTGGAGGTAATCAGCCATCCTGGACCAGAAGCAGAACTTGGAAATGGAGGTTATGCATAGCTAAACAAAAATATAGAAGGATCTTAGGTTCCTAACATTTTACCATTCCAGGACTGCTTATCCAAACTTTTAACTGAGAGAGAAATAAACTTGTCTTGTTAAGCAACTGTTGTTGTATACTTTCAGGAGCTTGAGGTTAAGCCTCATCCTACCCAATACTAATGTAAGTATAAAAGTTGGCACCCTACCTGTACACCTTCATTACAATGTTCAGATGTGAGGATAAGTCCTGGCAAGTTACTAGGAAGGTCCAAACGTCTGAAATACCAAACGAGGTTCCAGAAAATGATTGGATGTTGATTGATGAAAGAAGATGTATGAATCACCTGATCACCTTCATTTTCTAGCAAAGATTCAAGTTCTTTACGGAGTACTAGAGGACTCAAGTAGGGCACAGAAACAGGGGGAGGATTGGGTCTTTTTCCTAAAGGATCCTTAAAAAAAATACAAACAGAAATTAGTATTATCTGTTTAAATCTGTATGCTGAAGAGCACTTCTCAATGAGATAATGCCTCTCTATCTATCCTATTTAAATCAGTTATTTTAGGACCATTGCTACATGCAGGAGAATATGCTAATGAATGAAAACCTAAAAAAGAAAAAAAATACTTAATCTTAAATACTATTAAGTTAAATCATTACAAAAGAAAATTAATCAACAGACTCTTTAAAACATGTTCTCTATCACATTGAGAGCAACGGTCTGAATGTATTAGGTTTTTTCCAAATTTTATAAGAAATATTTGCATTTCAGATGCTTTATAGTAATATATGTGTATAAAAACTGTGTGACATTATCTTCCTCCTACAACTCTAAACTGATGGGGCAATCTTTTGTATTAATATTCTTTGTTGACTTAACTCACTTTTACAACTGATTGCAACAAAAACCGAAGGAATTAAAGAAAGAGCATTTTTATAATTCAAATAAAATAAGAAATGAAAAAAGACCCAACCTAGACTTTGTGAGTTATGCGTATTATAATCAGGATAAAATGTTTAAGACTCTCTCATTAACAGTGGGTTCCCCGGTGCCTAGACTGTGGTCTCCAAAACCATTTCCCTCTAAAGGGACCCACAGTTTCTTAGAGAAACAGCTGATTCTGGTCTGGGTAAGAAAGTATATAACATAAGCATAAAACATCTTGTTATATAAGAAAGCCAGAAAGCTTTTTAAAAATTACAAAAAAGCTACTAGAGTTATGTCAAAAGGACTAATGAGCTAACTTGTAGAGGCTTCTAGCTGACCAAAGAGAATAATATAAGCATGAACAACAATAAAAACAGCAATAGATATAAAGATAAATGTTTAAGGCAAGGTAGTGTGTGCCTATAGTTTCAGTTACTAGGGAGGCTGAAGCAAGAGGATCACTTGAGCTCAGGAGTTTAAGAACAGCCTGGGCAACAAAGCGAGATCCCCATCTCTAAAAATTAATTGCTTCATTAAACATAAATGTTGAAATCAATGAGCTCATAATGATACCCTATTCCCCCAAATTAACTGATGACCTTGGAGAATGACAGGGACTCAACTCGCCATTTTGAAAATTGGTAAATAAAAGCAAAAAACCAAGCATTTAACCTGCCTTTCCACTATAAATTTTATCTTTAGAAAATCTAACAGAAGACACAGGGAAGTTTCTGTTTATGTATTCCTTATTAAAAGGAAGCAATGACAGAATGAGACCATTATCATTTTATAGCTCCTGATGAATTACTTTAGGCATTAAGGCATTAATAGCTACTAATGTTGATGTCTCCTACTGGGAGGAACATACCACCACTGATGAAATTGTCTTACAAAAATAAACAAGTAAATGAACAATAACACAAAAACCCCAAATCTGATCAAGGTTCTGGACACAAATTTCAACTTTTATCGTTGCAATCAGCAAAATCTGGATTATGGGAAACTGTACGCTAACCAGTTTTATCAACAAATAAATTGCAAGAGGAAAAAAGAGTCTACAGATTCAAAAAGACTAAAAACCATACAAACCCAAGTACAATACACTGACTTTATTTGATCTTGATTCCTCAAGCTACCAACCCACACATACACATGCACACATATGCTTTTGACATTTTTGAGACAATCAGAAATTTGAACAGACTAAATAACTTGACATTATTATTTAGTTTTTTTTTTTTGGTATGATAAAAGCAGTGTGATTATATTTTTCTAAAGTCCTCATCATTCAGGGATACATACTGAAATATTTACTAACAGAATATGTGATGTTTGAAATTTGCTTCAAAATAATCTCAAAAAAAGAGAGAACTGAATGAGAATATACATAAAAGAAGAATGGCCATAATCTGAAAATAATTGAAGCTAGAAGATGGACTCATTATACTGTTTCTTTTTGCACATATTTGAAATTCTCCACAATAAAAAGTTATTTGCTTATGGAAAAATTCTAATCTATCACTTTTCATGTAATTAAAATAAGTCCACTACAGAAGAATTTATAATGTTCTACTATATACTTAGATATGTATGCAGTATAATTACAATGTTGTTGTTGTTACATACCACAACTTCCTGCAGACTGTTTGGAAGACTAACTGTTGAAATGCCATGAAACGGTCGCTGGGTAAAGTCAATATTCTGCAAGGGGCCTCCAACACTGTGACTTCGAGTCAAAGATACATTTCGCTTTGATAAACTATTAGGCACAGATGAAATTTTCATAGTTTGGACATCTCCACTGGCTCTCTTTATTTCATCACTTAAAAAAATATAGAAGAAATGCTATGTTCATGTTGAAAAACAGTCTAAATCTGTAGAGCTATTTTCTACAATGGACCTTCAGTCTACTAAATATATCTAAGAAGAATCAGCACCACCTTGTAAAAATTGCATTTCCTTCAAGCATTTTTGTAAAACTGGTCAGAAAAACAGGATGGAGAGGATGGTTCTGGTGAGAGTGGGAAGATGACATATTGTATGTAGATACACAGGTATTATTTTAAAATGACAAAGTACCCATTCAGTTGCTTTACTCAAATATTATTTCATCTTAAACAAAATTACCTAGAAGTACGCTGTATGCAAATAAGTACAGTAAAGACACTGACAAGTATTTAATCTCTACTAGGCCACGATCCACCTAAGGAGAGAGACCCAGTCATATTTTCTTTTTTATTTTTAGAGCTTAGCATAATATTTAGCATACAATAGAGTCTCAATAAATGTCTGATTCAATTAGTATTTAAGGGTGAAGTGTACATTTCACAGAAAGAGAACATTTCGCCTCTGGAAATTGGCAATGACTACCTTAAAGGGGAAATATTTTACTGTTGAGAAGTTCATTTTGTAAAAGACACCTGTAAAATATTAAACTTAGTTCAAAAATGGTTTATCATCAGAGTCATTCATTAGCTGTTTAAACACTATGTGGTAATAATAAGTTAAGATGTACTCTTAAATGCCAGAACTTATGCCTATAGGAGTCAGGTTGTCTTTAGAGACAGAATTTTTACAAGGGTACCCCATTTATTACTATATAAAGAGGTCTCTGTACCCTTTGATACCTTGGTTCAACTGCAGAGCCTGTTTCTTCAGTTATGGTCTGGTTATGTTTTGGGGAATCCATAAAGTTGATCAAGTCAGGTTCTGCTAAACTGGATACAGGTTTGTGCTCCAAGGATTCATTTGCCAATGGAATGCTTCCACTTTGTAAACTGTCACCAGAGGTACTTGGTTTCAGGAAAAAGCTACATATGGAAAAGGGGGGGAAAAAAAGCCTTTAAAAATCCTCAAGTCTTCTAAAATTCTATCATATTTAGAATCATTTTATTGATAAAGCAGTTATTAATTATATATAATCCAGAAGGAAAACACTGCCTATTTCCAATACACACACAGACCTCTCTCTCTCATATTCCTGCTCTCATTTTCTCTTCCCTTCCTATCCTAAATTTTTCAAATACAAGGTTGGAAATGGTCCGATAAATGACATTCCAATTTTTGAGAACCTCTAAAGAAAACTATGAAGGATGAATGGAAGCAAAATATTTTATTAATTTCCTGAGTTTAAAAAAAAATAAAGAAGAGCTGCAGTAGCAGCATTTTAAGATGTATTAACCTATAATTACTTATAATGTCTTTTATCATTTATAAATCTCCATCTTGTTTCTAGTCATTTCTTCTCTGTTCATTGTTTTATTTACATCTTATCTCTCTCCTTCTCTCTTTGGGTGGACTCAAGGAGGGAAGGGCCTTGCAAGGAACATTCAGAGAATTTTCTGAGGTAATGGTAATGTTTTCTAAGAGTTTAATTTGTATAAATGCATGCATTTATTCTTCAAATGGTATGTTTAAGATTTGTACATTTTGCTGTATATCAATTTATCTCAAAAGAAAAAAACTGTCAATAAATACTGAACTCTAGTTAATGATACGCATATCAGTCTTTGGGGGAGAAATGTATTAATATCTATCTTACCTTCAAATGAATAAAAATTTAAGATAGATTGGTGGAGAAACAGATAGGTGATAGACTTAAGTATAGTAAAGTGTAAATTGAAGGACGCAGGGGTAGATATTGGGTGTTCATTGAAAAAAAACTTTTTAAAATTTGTTGTAAGCTTGAAATTTTCTATAACAACATATTCAGGGGACAGACTTACTAATGCTCCTTTATATCCAATTTGAAAAATATAAAATCAAATGCTTGTCACAATAGCTTAAAAACACAATTAACTCAACAAAAAAGTATAGGACTTATGGAGAATAATTTAAACCTGCGTTAAAGGACATAAAAGAAGATCTGAAAAAAAATACAGAGATATACCCGGTTCATAGATAAAACAATAATTTAGAAAAGTCGATTTTCCCCAAATTAATCTATAAATCTCAAAGAAAACTCTAGTTGGATTTTTTTTTTTAAGAACTCAAACTTATTCTAAGAATTCATAGGAAACAGCAAGCACACAAAAAATAATAACAATAAAATCCAAGAGAGGGAACTCACTCTACTAACCAGATATAACACAAAGACCAAGTGACGAAAACAATATGGCATTAAGAAAAACAGCAAGAAAATGCGGAACCAAGTGAGGTATACATGGGAACTGAAATATGATAAAGGTGACACCACATGTCAGTGAGGAAAGGGTAAGTTATTTAGGAGATAATATTGGGATAACTGGATTGTTATATGGGGGAAAAATAAAAGCTGGATCTCTACCATCATATATAAAAAGCAGAATAAAGATATATTAAAGACCTAAACATCAAAAGTAAAATATAAACAAAAATGTTCAAGGATAAAAATTTCAGGTCCTAGGGAGAGGGAACAACTTTAAAAACAAGATTCCAAAAGTACAAATTGCAAGGTAAAAAATTAATGGATAATGACATCAAAATTAATGCTTTCAAGTAATTAATATCAATAATATTCAAGTCAAATCAACAAGAAAAAGAAAGATCAATAGAAAAATAGGCAATGAACGGCCGGCCCTGTGGCTGACGCCTGTAATCCCAGCACTTTGGGAGGTTGAGGCTGGTGGATCACGAGGTCATGAGATCGAGACCATCATGGTTAACATGGTGAAACCCAGTCTCTAATAAAAATACAAAAAAATTAGCCGGGCATGGTAGTAGGTGCCTGTAGTCCCAGCTACTCAGGAGGCTGAGGCAGGAGAATGGCGTGAACCTGGGAGGTGGAGCTTGCAGTGAGCCGAGATCGTGCCACTGTACTCCAACTGGGCAACAGAGCGAGACTCATCTCAAAAAAAAAAGAAAAAAAATCAAAAGAAAAAGAAAAAGGAAAGAACACAATGAACATAAGCGCCAGGCAGAAACATGCTAGAATAGCCAGAGGCAGTGGCCTGCGAGCGCCCTGTAATCCCAGCACTTTTGGGATGGCCAAGGTGGGTGGCATCACCTGAGGTCAGGAGTTCGGAGACAGCCCTGGCTAGCATGGCCAAACTCCGTCTCTACTAAAAATACCAAACTTAGCTGGGCATGGTGGTGGGCACTTGTAATCCCAGCTACTCAGGAGACTAAGGCAGGAGAATTGCTTCAACCTGGGAGGCAGATATTGTAGTGAGCCGAGATCGTGCCACCGGACTCCAGCCTGGGTGACAAGAGTGAAACTCCGTCTCCAAAAAAAAAAGGCTAGAATAACAAGTAATGAAGAGAAACTCAAATTTGTCAGTACCGAGACAAATTCAAACAACGCCAAAATTTAAAAAGTGATAATACCAAATGCTGGTAAGGCTATACAGAAATGAGAATTCTTAGGTACTATTTGTGGGAGTGTAGCCATCTAGGAAGCAGTATTTTGTGTTTACTAAAATCATGTATGAAAATGATCTTACTCCAAGGATTATTGTTTTCTTAGAGAAACTACTTCACAAGTTCAAAAGGGGTACGTATTTTGCAGTACACTGCATTACTGCAGTGGTGTTTGTAGTAACAGAGAACTGAAAGCAACTGAAGTATCTAACACTAGAATAACGGATAAGTAGAAAGATATATTAACTTTCTGTAGCAGAAAAGGAATAAACTAGATGTACATATAGTAACTCAGATTTTAAACTGAGTAATAAAAAGAGATAAAGTTAGATATATGACACTTAGCAGAGTCAGTGTCATTGTAGAACGAGGGAATGAGGGTGGGAATGAGGAAAGGAGGATAAATACAGAGGGCCTTTGCACAGGTCAAAGATGATAGTGTGTCAGGAATTAAAGAGTATGATTTGACTTAGCTCCACACCTGAAGCTAAAAGAAAAAACAGAGAAGAAACACCTCTACAGTGAAACGGTGTGATCTCAGCTCACTGCAAACTCCGCCTCCCGGGTTCAAACCATTCTCCTGCCTCAGCCTCCTGAGTAGCTGGGACTACAGGCATGTGCCATGGTGTCAGGCTAACTTTTTGTATTTTTTTGTAGATATGGGGTTTTGCCATGTTGCCCAGGCTGGTCTCAAACTCCTGACCTCAAGTGATCCACCTGCCTCAGCCTCTCAAAGTGCTGGGATTACAGGCATGAGCCATTATGCCCAGCCTAAATGTTTTGGTTTTTTTTTTGAGACAGAGTCTCGCTCTGTCACCCAGGCTGGAGTGCAGTGGTGCAATCTCAGCTCTCTGCAACCTCTGCCTCCCAGGTTCAAGCAATTCTTCTGCCTCAGTCTTCCGAGTAGCTGGGACTATAGGCACATGCTGCCACACCTGACTACTTTTTTGTATTTTAGTAGAGACGGGGTTTCACCATGTTGGCCAGGCTGGTCTCGAACTCCTGAGCTCAGGCAATCCACCCGCCTCGTCCTCCCAAAGTGCTAGGATTACAGGTGTGAGCCACCACACCTGGCAATGTATTTTTTATAAAGCAGCTAAAGGCAGGAAATAAAAAGTTCAATTTGTTCCATAAAACGAACGGAATATTAAGTATAATTCCTTAGGTCAGTACAGAGTTACCAAATTCTCAATTATTTAATGTATAACTATAGATCAGTTAGTCTCCTTTCTATTGCCTAGAATTTGGTCATTTAACTGCACAGAATACTACTAGGAAGTGCAAGTGACAAGAGAAGAATTGAAGCCTTTTTTCCCCCTTTGTTTCTTCTAAAATACATACTCACTGCAGCTTCAAACTTTCGGGCTCAAGAGATCCTCCTGTGTCAGCCTTCCTAGTAGCTGCTACCACAGGTGCACACTACCATGCCCAGCTAATTTTAAAAAAATCTTTTGTAGAGACAGGGTCTTGCCATGTTGCCCAAGCTGGTCTTGAACTCCTGACCTCAAGCAATTCTCCCACCTGGGCCTCACAAAGTGTTGAGATTACAGCATGAGCCACGGAGCCCAGCTGATAATCCTACTTTAAATAACATGGTAAAGTAGACTCCCACATTACTAACATTTGCTACTCAAATACTGAAGGTGAAGGACAGACAGGAAGGCAAACCTGGAGCATACCATGAATATTTCGGTCTTCTCCCAGAAGTCATGTTTTTTGAGGGTACTTACTTCTTGAGAGAGCTTTTTAAGACTAACCTTGCAGAACCTCTCAAATCTTTGAATTCTATATTCAGAAGAGGCAAGAAGTTGCTTTTACAGAATGGACAAGCTGTATTCAAATTTGAGTCATCTGCTGTCCATCCAGCCATAATTTCTTCATCATAAACTAAAGTTCCACAAGCTCTACACTGTGAACAACTGGACATCAAAACCTAAAAACAGAAAAATGCAGATACTGAGACCATTTAATAAAAATTAATCTTAACAGGCATTCTCTTGAGATAATGGGATTTCATTTATTCTATTGATCAAATTTGGAATTATTAATAACAGTTCTTTGATTTCACAGGTAAACTATCAGTTCATTGTCTTACATAAGACATCAAGTAAATTCAACAAAATGACTTATTATACTGTCCACAAGGGTGTCATAGAATCCTGTTAAATGCCATTCTGCAATAAAAATATGCTTACAGCTACTTTATCATGAACTGAATATAGAACTTTTACCTCCATTGCACAATTCTGATAGATGCTAGACATGCTGGTATTTTGAGAAGAACCATGATCTGATTTTTCAAAGTCTTGCCCTTTCATGCCTCTTGGAAATGGAACTTCACCTACAAAGGAATAAACATCATAACACCTTAGGTAGGGAATGTCCTTGTTTTTTGAAAATGCATGCCAAAGTATTTAGGGGGAACATATCATAAAGTCTGCAATTGTTTTTCAAGTGGCTCAGTATAAAAATGTATGCATACATAGAAAGAGATAAAGTTAACAATAGTTAATTAAATCTAGGTGGAAAATACATAACTGTTCATTATACAATTCTTTCAACTTTTCAGGATATTTGAAATTTTTTTTTTTTTTTTAAAGACAGAGTCTCACTCTGTTGCCCAGGCTGGAGTGCAATGGTGCAATCTCGGCTCACTGCAACCTCCACCTTCGGGGTTCAAGTGATTCTCCTGCCTCTGCCTCCCAAGTAGCTGGGATTACAGGCGCATGCTGCCACGTTCAGCTAATTTTTTTTGTATTTTAGTAGAGATGGGATTTCACTGTGTTGCCCAGGCTGGTCTCGAACTCTTGAACTCAGGCAATCCACCCGCCTCGGCCTCCCAAAGTGCTAGGATTACAAGCATGAGCCACCATTCCTGGCTCGGACATTTGACATTTTTATAGTAAAAAGTCAGAGAAAAAGAACAGAATCGGCCGGGCGCGGTGGCTCACGCCTGTAATCCCAGCACTTTGGGAGGCCGAGGCGGGTGGATCACCTGAGGTCAGGAGTTCGAGACCAGCCTGGCTAACATGGTGAAACCCTGTCTCTAAAAATACACAAAATTAGCTGGGCGCGGTGGTGGGCTCCTGTAACCCCAGCTACTTGGGAGGCTGAGGCCGGAGAATTGCTTGGACCTGGGAGGTGGAGGTTGCAGTGAGCCGAGATCACGCCACTGCACTCCAGCCTGGGTGACAAAGTGAGACTCCATCTCAAAAAAAAAAAAAAAAAAAAAAAAAAAGAACAGAATCATAATTTTAAAAAGTAGCATGGAGTAAGAAACTTCAATGACACATCCTAGAGATTCTCAAACTCTGGTATACATCTGATTAACCCAGAGAACTGCTTAAAAATACACATTCCCAAGGCCCCATCTCACAAATTCAATCTCAGAAGTTTTAGCGTTAGGTTTGGACATTTGCATATATTTTGAAACAAATTCCCAAGATTATTCTGATGCATGCCAAAGTTTGAGAACTGATGATATAATCCACGAATATATACAACTAAACAAAGGCAGTAGGTGGCCACAGCAGTTATAAATCATAGAAGATCAGAATAGATCATAAGGCGGCTACTATTAAAAATCTCTCAATCATCTCAACAAATGGGGCTTATTGAGTGGCATCTAAATTAAAATAAGCAAAGGCAGGCCAGGCGCTGTGGCTCTCGCCTGTAATCTCAGCACTTTGGGAGGCTGAGGCAGGCAGATTGCTTGAGATCAGGAGGTCGAGACCAGCCTGGGCAACATGACAAAATCCCATCTCTTAAATTAAAAAAAAAGCAAAAACTATTATAAAGCAAATGAAGAAAGGATAATCCTTCCCCATACCTGTTGGATAATGCAGTTTTCCTACATCTCCACTACTGCTGCTACTGCCAAGGCTTGTGTTGCTCTGGGTAAGTTCACTGGGGACCAATCCTGAGATACTTGTGTTAGGCGATATATTCTCCCCCAAAATATGGTCTTCTAGGCCAGCCGGGAAGCTGTAATCTCTATTAGTTTCCTCCTTTAATTGAAAAAAAAAAAAAAAAATTCCACACACATAAATAATACCTTCTCCACTGAAATATACTCACTCTACCCTTTTCAGAATTAAACTCTATAATCCTTAAACAAATCATCATCCCCACATTTTTCAAAACCATGAAATCTCCTATTATTTGGAATTTCCCTTCCACACTCCAAGACATTCAAGCCATAAGCAACAATACTTTAAAAAAGATCGTGGTGTGCCTCAGGTGTATGTGGGAGGTCTGGGTGTCTCTCGATATTGAATCTTATAAAATAACAGAATTCTAGGGAGCTCACTGTCTCTAATGGAATCAGGAATCCCTGTATGAGTAGGGGTTTTTGAGTTAGACAGCCAGATTGTGACCTTGTTCTCCACCATTTATTAGATATGCAATCTTACAGAAATTACTAAACTTCTTTAACTTTTAATTACATAATTTTAAAATATGGATAATGAGAGTTGTTTCAAATAAAGCTGCTGTGATAATTTTGGCTAGGAATCTGAATGTTCAGAATAACAAATATCAATATTAGAGCCACGAAACATAAACAAAGTTTCAAACACTGTAGCTCTTAACTACATAAGTGAATGTTGAAGCTTGAGGTAGAAAACATTTCAACAATCAGGTTTTTTTGCTTTAAAAACGAAAGATTTGTGTGTTCCTTGCCATAAAACCATGTTACATGATTTGTAAAAATTAAATACAGATAAGCAAAACAAGGAATAAAAAACGCTTATGATCAACAGTCAGAGAATATAATCAAAATCTTGATATATATCTTTCTAGTCATTTAGAACATACATATAAAATCATATAATAAATCTTTACAAATTAGAATATTGTTTTTAACCTGTACTTATGTAATTATTTTAATGTCATTAAATTTTCTAATTATTTAAACCCCTGTGAACTAATCTGTTTTACTGATACACTATTATTTACTAACTCCCCCTGTTGCTTAAACATTCAAAATGCTTCAATCTTATATAAATTATATTGGTAAAATTCCTCTATTTTTACATACACTTCTAATTACTTCCTTAGATTAAACTGTGGATGCAAGTTAAAAACATTTTATAGACTTTTAATTTATTCCTTAATTTGTAAATATTTATTAGGTATATCCTATTTGCCTTTTGCCAGGTACTGCTTACTGGTGCCAGGGCTGTAACAATGAAAAGACAAGACAAGATCCACAGTGACTTGGAATTTACAGTGTCATATATTCCAAGTCCAAATATCCCTGTGGAATGTACTTCTGTTTTTAACAGTTAGATAATTTTTTGGGGGGTAGGGGAGATAGGGTCTCTGTCGCCCAGGCTGGAGTGCAGTGGTGTGATCTTGGCTCAACGCAACCTCTGCCTCCCAGGCTCAAGCTATCCTCCCACCTCACCTTCCAGAGTACCTGGGACTACAGGTACATGCCACCACATCCAGCTAATTTTTTTGTATAGATGGGGTTTCGCCATGTTGCCCAGGCTAGTCACAAACTCCTGGGCTCAAGCAAATGCTCACCTCAACCTCTAAAAGTGCTGGGATTACAGACATGAGTCCTCATAACCAACCTCAATAAAATTTCAAAAATAAAACAAAGGCCAGGTGCAGTGGCTCATGGCTGGAATCCCAGCACTTTGGGAGACCTAGGAACACTTGAGCCCAGGAGTTCAAGACCAGCCTGGAAAACATAGCAAGACCATATCTCTACAAAAAATAAAAAATTAGCAGTCATGGTGGTGCATGCCTGTAGTCCTAGCAATTAGGAGGCTGAGGCAGGAGGATTGCTTGAGCCCAGGGGGTCGAGGCTACAGTAAGCCATGATTGTGCCACCGTATTCCAGTTTGGGTAACAGAGCAAGCCCCTGTCTCAAAAAATAAAATAAAATGATACACTCTTTTTTTTTCTTTTTTATCATAATGCCAGATTAAGACACTTTGGAAGTTATTTTATTTTGCCTTCCCTTGACTGACCTTGTAAGCTCTTTAAATATGAAATAGCTAATTTATAATGTTCAATACCATACTTTCAATTCAATTATTATTTTGTCTATAAAGTATTCCTTCAAATGGTATAAAAGTCTTATATGTCTAATTTCTTTTTTCTTTTTCTTTTTTTTTTTTGAGACAGAGTCTCACTCTGTTGCCCAGGCTGGAGTGCAGTGGCATAATCTCGGTTCACTGCAACTTCCGCCTTCCGGGTTCACACCATTCTCCTGCTTCAGCTTCCTGAGTAGCTGGGACTACAGGCACCCGCCACCACGCTCGGCTAATTTTTTATATTTTTAGTAGAGATGGAGTTTCACTGTGTTAGCCAGGATGGTCTCGATCTCCAGACCTCGTGATCTACCCGCCTCGGCCTCCCAAAGTTCTGGGATTACAGGCGTGAGCCACCGCGCCCAGCTTATATGTCTAACGTCTTTTCCCATGTGTCTAATTCCGATTTAGATCTTTAACAATCTGAAATTGATTATATTATCTTGAAAGTGCATGATGCTTTAAGCTTCCATACCATTTCACATTATTCTTTCAGATATACTCTTCTGACACTCTTCTTACAGCTTTAACCCCAAATGTCAAATTTATCCTTCAAATCCTAACTTAGATATCACCTGCTTTGCTTTTTTTCCCAATAGCCCCCAACCTGAATCTCTTTTCATATATTGCTCTTTGGTATCTTCTCCTGAGATATTGCTTCTAAGGTAACAGCATGGATTCTAGATCCAATCTCTTTGACTTCAAATCACAGTTCTACTATTCCCTAGTTAGCCTCTCTGAGTTTCAAATATCATCTAAAAAATCAGGATAACAACAGTACCACCCTCATGGGGTTGCTATGAAAATTAAACAAATACATATGTTTGTATATATTAATATACAAAAGCAGACATACAACTTATAACAGTACCTAGGACATACTGTTAAATAATGAGAGCAAACATTGTAGGTATCTGCCTTATCTACTAAAGTCCTCAAATACTATACAATTATTTGCATACAAGGTGAAATTTCAATTTTTTTCTGTAAAACAAGCAAAACTTACTTTCATTTTTACCAAAAGATCTAATGATTAACTGTATGTGTATAACGTTTTTTAAAGACAATTATTTTTGCCATGTAGTATGAAATCTATGGATTAAGCTTCAGCTTGACTTTATATGTATTAAGGAGATTACACAGGTAAAAATTATTTTAAAAGTGAATGCTATGCAAATATAATATGGCATTTTTATTAACTTCAAACACTAATCATTAGAGCTTTCAAAGAAATAAATCATGTTTTAGTTTAGACTAGTCTATGGAATTATAAAATGGTCCTGATATTCTATTTCTATATTATTAACTTCCTTACATATACGGTTCAAGTTACTTCAAGAAAGAAAACAAATATGCACAGTTTTTAAATATGAAAACCAAAGTTACCAGCACTCTCTTAATAATTCTTCATATATTTTTAAAAAGATATACAAACATTCCAGTATCAGATAGACTACACAAAATATAAAAACCAAAGTTACCAGAAATCAGCCAGGCACGTTGGCTCATGCCTGTAATCCCAGCACTTTGGGAGGCTGATACAGGTGGATCACCTGAGGTCAGGAGTTCAAGACCAGCCTGGCCAACATGGTGAAACCTCATCTCTACTAAAAATACAAAAATTAGCTGGGCATGGTGGCATATCCCTATAGTCCCAGCTACTCAGGAGGGTGAGGCAAGAGAATGACTCAAACCCGGGAGGCAGAGGTTGCAGACAGCCAAGATCACGCCACTGCACTCCAGCCTGGGCACAGAAATCTCTTAACAATAATATATACATTTCTAGAAAGATACTATAAACATTCCAATAGCAGACAGACTACACACATAAAGCTTTCTTACCTCATCATCTGAGTAGCTGTAGGCAGATGCAACAGCTACCCACATCTTACTGGCTACAGTCGCTGCTTGTTTCATACCAGATTTTAGGACATCTATCTTGGGCCCTGAGAGTATATTATCCAGCTTTAGTCCTGACAAAGAATTTACTACAGAACCCAACGAGCCATGTGGCGAAGAACGTATCAGTGCTGACAAAGAAGTTGAACGTTCTTTATGAGTTCGAGAGGGGGTTTGCTGCTTGAAACGCCCAGTAAAAGTTTTAGACCTGGACACTGCAGGCGAGCTTTTCTCACTTTCAGGATTTTCCTGTGCTGGTGAACCATGATCTAAAGGTAGGCTTGATCTCCTCTCTAGAGCATGAATAAATGCAGTAGTCATGCCAGACTCTCTGTTTTCCTCTCCATGTAATTCCATACTAGAAGATTTACTACCTAGGGGACTTTTTAGGTTCATATAGCTTTCTATTTCATCAGCCAGATTACGTGCAATAACTGGAGAAAACAACTTATCTTCAGAATCAAGAGTTTCTCCCCCTGAACATTCAGTGGCTAAAAGAGACAAAGGATCTAGTCCAGTTTCAACATCTTCCCTCTCAACCTCCTTAGCAATACCATATAAACTACTTCTCTTATTCCTCAGATCTTTGGATCCTGTTTTCAAGTCTCTGGACTGATTACTGTTACTATCACTTAGTAGACTCTCATATGTATCCTCTGTTGCAGTAGTTTTAGGTATATCATCAGTCACAGGCTCAAGGAGTTCTTGGCTTTCCTCAAGCATCTCTGGCACCGGAGATGATCTGTACTCAGGATTCCAAGTACTTTCAGACACACAAGTCCTACTATCAGGTAGGTGACAGCTAACATTCTCAAAGGTATGGGTTCTTGCGATATGAAGTGGAGAAGTCTTAGGACATGTCAATGCTGCTGTGAGAATCTTAGCATCTGCTCCCATCATGATAGCCATTTCACTTGAATTCGAATCCAAACTACTCTTCTTAAGCAACATTCCTGCTCGACTTTCAGAACTAAAACTACAACTTCTCTCAGGAAAATGCTTTTGTCTTTTTTCTCCTCTATCACCATTCTTCTTGAGATTAGTAGCTTCGCCAAAGACTGCATCTTCAACTGGATCTTGAGTAGAAACCAGCACATTTGATATACTACCTAAAATGGAAAGTAAAATATTAACGATGAATCTATTTTCCAAGTTAACTTTTATTAAAATGTTTACTGTTTTCCTGATTATGAATGTGACATATACTCAGAATAAAAGATCCAGAAAATTTAGAGGCCATAAAGAAGGTATTTTAAAAAGTGCTCTGGAAGAGCTATTTAAACCTGCCTCCCAGAGATAACATTTTAATGTATAATCAGTCTTTCATCCTGTATGTATATAAACACCCATTTAAAAAAACAAATCATGCAACATATGATAGGTGGATATACCTGTGTTGTTCACTGAAATACAAAAAAGAAAGAATCTCTTCCATCTTAGTTTTGTATCCAATTCAACAAATACTTGCCAGGAATCTACTCTGCAAAAAGCAAATTTGTAATCGCAGAGGAACTGTGTATTTGCTATACTCAAAGTCTTACTGCTGCAAAGTAAAAGAATCCGGAATGGAATGCCTAGCACTGGAAAATTCTAAGAAGGCAGATAAAACCTGAGTGGTTAAAAAATTACTCAGATATATCCATTTCTTCAACAAATATCTAAAGGTCTAGTAGTATCCACTGTATGAGGTGCTAGGAATACAAAGGCAAATAAAACAGACATAATCCCAGCCTTCACAGAAGTCAGTCTTATTTGATCAGGTAGAGAAAAAATATGCTAATGGCCACAGCAGCTTCCCCCAGCTTTGGAAGAAGAAAGCAGTCTTTTACTCTTTGCTATCATGCAAATTGTTTCACTCCAAAAGCTATTATTTCCTATTTGAATCATTATTAGAACTTAAGTCTTCCTGTTACAGACTGAATGTTTGTGTCCCTCAAAATCCACATGCTGAAATCCTAACCCCCAGTGTGATGGTATTAGGAGGCAGGGCCTTTGAAAGATAATTTGATTATGAAAACGGAACCCTGATGAATGGGATTAGAGCCCTTAGAGAAGGAGAGCTCTCTCCTTCTCTGCTGTACAAGGATACAGTAAGTTAGCAGTCTGCAACCTGGAAGAGGGCCCTCTGCAGAACTCACCATGCTAACACCCTAATCCTGGACTTTCCAGACCCTAGAACTGTAAGAAATAAATTTCTTTCTTTTCTTTTTTTTTTTTTTTTTTTTTTAAAGTTAGAGTCAGGCTGGGCATGGTGGCTCACACCTGTAATCCCAGCACTTTGGGAGGCTGAAGCAGGTGGATCACCTGAGCTCAGGAGCTCGAGACCAGCCTGGGCAACATGGAGAAACCCTGTCTCCGGGAAAAAAATACAAAAATTAGCCAGACGTGGTGGCGCGGTAGTTCCAGCTACTTGGGGGACTGAGGCAGGAGAATCCTTGATTGCTTGAGCCCAGGAAGCTGAGGCTGCAGTGAGCCACGACTGCACCACTACACTCCAGCCTAAGTGACAGAGTGAGAGTCTGTCTCAAAAACAAACAAATAAAGTTAGGGCCTTACTCTGTCACCTAGGCTGGAGTATAGTGGTGCAATCATGGCTCACTGCAGCCTCAATCTCATGGCCTCAAGTGATCTTCCCCTCCAGCCTGCCAAATTGCTGGGATTACAGGTATAAGCCACTGAGCCTGGCAGAAATAAATTTCTGTTGTTTATAAGCCATCTAGTCTATGGAATTGTATAGCAGCCTGAATTATTCATATTTAGGATTCTCATTTGTGTTTTTCTTTTCCTTTGTTTTCTTTTTTATCCATTGCTTTTTACTGTAGTCACATCATTTGTTTTGTTAAAAAGCATAAAAATGTCTGGGAGCTTCAAGGAAAAAAGCTGTCTTAGAAAAGATCTTTCTTTTAAACTTCAAGATTGATTTCAAGGTTCTTTTTAATCTTTCAAGTTAGTACTAATAATCATAATTATATAAATTAATCAGAATAAGCATTTAGAGATATTCTTTTAAGCCTTCATGGGAATTAAACTAGCCTATTTTACAACTCAAAATATGTACCTGCTTTGAAAGCTGTTCCCAATATTTGAGAAACAAATCTTTGCAAATATTATTGGTTCTCACAGTATTTCCAGGAATTTAACAGCACATTTTATTCAATGTTAAAAAAAAAAGGCCAGGCGCGGTGGCTCACGCCTGTAATCCCAGCACTTTGGGAGGCCGAGACGGGCGGATCACGAGGTCAGGAGATCGAGATACTCCTGGCTGCACGGTGGAACCCGTCTCTACTAAAAACACAAAAAATGAGCCGGGCGTGGGTGGCGGGCGCCTGTAGTCCCAGCTACTGGGAGGCTGAGGCAGGAGAATGGCGCGTGAACCGGGAGGCGGAGCTTGCAGTGAGCCGAGATCCCGCCACTGCACTCCCAGCCTGGGCGACACAGCTAGACTCCCGTCTCAAAAAAAAAAAAAGAAAAAAAAAAAAAAAGTTCAGGTTTCTCATGTGCTGGAGCAAGGAGCCCTTGACCAGTGAAGAGGCAAGGCCAGGGGCTCAGCCTAAGTCCACAGCGGAAAAAAAATACGCAGAAACATTGGAATAAGCTCCACACGCACTGCTTAATTCTTATTTGCCGGGCGCGGTGGCTCACGCCTGTAATCCTAGCACTTTGGGAGGGCCGAGGCGGGCGGATCACAAGGTCAAGAGAATCGAGACCACGGTGAAACCCCGTCTCTACTAAAAATACAAAAAACTAGCAGGCGAGGGTGGTGGGGCGCCTGTAGTCCAGCTACTCGGGAGGCTGAGGCAGGAGAATGGCGGGAACCTGGGAGGCCGGAGCTTGCAGTGAGCCGAGATCGCGCCACTGCACTCCAGCCTGGGCGACAGAGCGAGACTCCATCTCAAAAAAAAAAAAAAAAAAAATTGCTATACTGACAAAAGCCCCATTATCCTCACCCTTCATTCTTAATATGAAAATAAGTTAAAAAGGGAAGGAAACACAGCAGTCCACAATGTCCAGTTCAATATTTTGAGAGGACGCTAAGCCTCTGACAAAGAAAACTCTTCCCTCCTTTTCCCCAGCATCTCTGCTATCAAGAGGTTGGGAAAATGGGATCTGCAATGTATATATCAATTATTTTCTCAAAAAACCTTTAGCCCCACCACCTCTTGAACACTAACCAAACAAGTAATGAGTGAAACTCAGAGTCACGGTAAATACAAAGAGAAAAGACTTTAAGAACAGGAGTACTTTTACATTGGTTTAAGAAGCTGAACAAATTAATTTCTGTAAAGTCATACAATGGATACATCTTCAGACAAGACAGTCGACTTTAGAAAAGTGAACTGCAGCCACCACTAATGAAGGGCAAAGGATGCAGGCCAATTTCATCGTCTTTTAAAATCATATACTTAGACGTGTGCCAGAAGAGTCTTGGGAGGCCTATATATAATGAAAGTAGAAAACTCAAATTCAAGGGAGTCATACACACGGAGTTATTTAGTACAATAATCACAAATAAAAAGTGGCTTGGGGTACCTATAACAATGGCCAAAATCAAAGACCCACTGGCATATCTGTGTAGAGCGGAAATGACGTGAATCTTTTTCTTCCATTTCCCTTCAGTGATAGGAATTAACCGGCCACTCATAAGCCCTCTGGAATTTGATCACATCACTGCCTCTCTGTTCATGATGCATACAGGAAGCCCTACAAGTACACTTTCTCATTATCTAAAATGAGAAAGAGTGGCCAAATGGAGAACAGGCACCACAACAGGAACGGGTATTCTAAGTAACAATTAAACACACTAAATACTCCTTTTAAAAATCAAACACCTTTAAATAACAATATTTTCAATTTCTTTAGCTGATTTAGAGAATTCAAAAGTCCCTTCTGGCTCTTTAGCATGTTCATTACAATTAAGTCAAAAATTTAATGTCATTAAAGACACATACGTGTCTATAGACGTTTATTTTAAATATTTAATAACCAAAATGTAAAGACTTACCGGTGCTACTTTTCCTGCTGTTGATATCAAATATACCAGACGGAACTTTCACAATACTGCTGCCCCATGCAGGAGATTCAGTAGGACTGTGAGGCTCTGGACTAGGTTGTGAATGTTTTGCCACAATAGCAGAAGCATCACACACCTCTGGAAAAAAAAAAATTTGGATGTTATCATTCCTACTTTTGCCAATATTAAACAGAAACCATATACTGACTTTTACATATTGTATGTATTTTTCTCCAACAGTCAGTGTGTCTATTTTACTTTAGACACAAAGTAAAATAGACTGTGTCTGGTTTACTTCATGCCATAAATGCTGCCATTAACTGAAATGCTTTGTTTAACCATTCAATAATCCTAACATAAAAGTTCTTTAGTGAATCAATAAAGTCTCTGGTCTTCAGTTCTCCTTCTCATCACTTGGCAAGCAGGAGAGGGGCTTGCTTCTCCAAAACTCTGGAGTATAAAATAAGTAACATTAAATAAAGTATACTTTTGTGAAAGAGAACAGGAAGAGTGTCTTTCTTATTCCATAAGCCAAAATATTCCTTCATATTTTCATAAAATTATTACAACAAATTATCTCTGCCTTAATGAGTCCTATAAAAAACAGGAAAAACCACATAGACTTTTTTTTTTTTTTTTTGAGATGGAGTCTTGCTCTTATCACCCAGGCTGGAGTGCAATGGCACAGTAGCGGCTCACTGCAACCTCCGCTTCCCAGGTTCAAGCGATTCTCCCGCCTCAGCCTCCCCAGTACCTGGGATTACAGGTGTCTGCCACCATGCCTGGCTAATTTTTGTATTTTTAGTAGAGACAGGGTTTCACCACATTGGCCAGGCTGGTCTCGAACTCCTGACCACATGATCCACCCACCTCAGCCTCCCAAAGTGCTGGGATCACAGGCATGAGCCACCGCACCCAGCCCACATAGACTATTTTTAACCTACCAATGAAAACTATGCACCTAGATATTTGAAGGACTGCTAGTGAAAGAGCCTTTCAAAATTAAAAATGGCACTAAAATAGAAGTTTTGATGACTCAAAGTTTAGTCCTGGTTCTGTCAAAAGTAGCTATGTAAATATGGCAAATACCTCAATGGGTCATACTTTCCTGCAAAATTAAGGGCTGACCTACAGAGTGTGGTGGCTCACACCTGTAATCCCAGCACTTTGGGAGGCTGAGGCGGGAAGATCACTTAAGTTCAGGAGGTCAAGACTAGCCGGGCAACATGGCGAGACCTTGTCTCTACAAAACATAAAAAAATTAGCTGGGCATGGTGGCATGTGCCTGTGGTCCCAGCTGACAGGGGACTGAGGCAGGAGGATCAGGAGGCCAGGAGACCAGGGCTGCAGTAAGACATGTTCTTGCCACTGCACTCAGCCTAGGCGAGAGAGCAAGACTCTGTCTCTAAAACAAAAAAAAAAAAAAAAAAGAAAAAGAAAAAGAAACAAAAGTCTCTTAAATTTTAAAACTTCAGAGACTACCAAAATCTACCTTATATGTACTGTTAAGTACATAGCATCTTAGGAGCCAGACCTTACATTTGTGAAAATAATCATCAAAGCTATCAACTAAGATAAACTTTTAATTATTAATAATGCAGGTATTATTCTAAGTAAAGTTCGTAAATATCAGGACTTAACCTTCTGTTTGCATTTTTGTTTTAGTTATCAATTCTCTTGTTGCTTGTTCTTCAGGCACATGAATTTCTGCATCATCCTTTATAAGTTCATCCTTAGACCCATATCCTTGGTCAGACTGACCACCTGTTAAAAAGAATGCAGACTTACATATAAATGTTTTCATATACTTATAATTCATATATAAAATATCAAAAGAAAATTCCACTGACCTACACAATTATGGTTAGACAAAAGACAAGAAAGCACACAAGGAACACAAAACATTTTAAAAATAATGATAAGCCGCAAAGAACAGTAGAAACAGGAACATCAAAGACTAAACACATTTGGAAGCACTACATCTTAATTTCTTCATCTGTAAATTAAAAAGATGTAGACAAGATGTTTGGAAAAGTGTCTTTTGAAGAGTGTCTACAGAATGCTACCTTCTCTGTAAGAAAAAAACACACATACATCTGCTTACTTTTGCAAAAAGAAATGCAGGAAAAATAAACCAGGAAACAGTAAAGATGGTTACCTACCACGGTTGGGGGGAAATAAGATGCAATGAATAAAGAGGGATAAAACTTCTCTATGTATAGCTTATGGTATTGTTTTTATCTCTGGAGATACAATACACTTCTGCATGTTAAAAAAAATTAGTAAGATAAAGGGGGTGCAACTGAATGCAAATGGAAACAAATGAAGCCAACTATATTTCCCATGAATAATATAACCCCACTGAAAGGGCCAGGGGAGGACTAATCCAAGTAACTTTGAACACATTATTTTGAATATCCACCTTAAGCCTAAGAGTAATAGTCAAATCCTGAACTGCTTAGTAGGTTTGTTTTTCACATAGAAATAGGTGTGACAATTCTGAAATTATTTTTTATGTACAGTACACATATTTTCTAGCTTAGGAAAAAAGTTTAGAAGCAGTAACACTGTGGTAACAGTGATCCCAAATCTTGGCTTCTAAAATCTATTCCCCATGAGCAAGAACCTGGGGTCCCTGAAGAAATGGCTGATTCCAGAGCTCAGACAGAGAAGGTATAAGATTGAGCTAGAACATTTTGTTGTGCCAAAAAGGTAGTGTTCAGAAACATAATGGGAGAGTATCTAAAGGATATAAAAAACAGCTTAAAGGAGCTTCCACTGGCCCACACAGGGATAATTTGAGGACCAAATAAGGGCAGTAATGAATTATATTTCAATGAATAAAACAGGAACCCATCAGTCCATACTGATAATAAACAAGAAAAAAACAGAGAATGGAGAATTTTCCATATACTAGAACATTGTCTTCTAAATTTGAAAACAGTGATAGAATTGGCAGAATCACCACTTTGTAGCCATCACAGTAATGACTGGTTCAGGCAAGCATCATCAATGGATGCCAAATTTAAAAGAGAAAGTGTCATGAGAAAGGATATTAGCACATTGTCTCAGAGTGTCCTTTCAAAAATAGCTTATTATCTGAGAGGAAGAAAAAGATTATAGTAACTAAGCACAGAGAAACCAGACAATAGTGAGACTAGGTGATCCAAATTAATATCACCGATGAAGGACAGACTGTGTGTGCCTGTAGGATGTGACAACTTGAGAAGTATTCAACATCATTTATGTAGCACACCCATGGATGCATAACCTAATCGCTAGGAAATAACAGACAAACCCAAGTTAAGAAACATTCCACAAAATAATTAAAATGAATTCTTCAAAAAGGCCAAGGTCATAAAAGATTTTTTAAAAGGCTAAGGAACTGTGCCAGGTTAAGGAAGACTAAAGAAAGGGAGTTAAAGTACCACAAGGAACACTGGGATAACTGACAAACTTGGAATATAAACTATGAAGTAGTATATATCAATGTTTTCTTCAATTTGGTAACTAAAGTGTGGTTGTATATAAGAGAAAATACCACTGAAATAATAAAGAGGTAAAGGGCAAGATGTATGTAACCTGCTCACATGATTTAGGAAAAAGAAATGGTATGTGTATGCATACCGAATGAAAATAATACAGCAAATGTGGCAAACTAAAAAGGAGGGAATCTAGATTAAAGATATGAGAGTTTTCTGTATTATTCTTGCAACTTTTCTGTAAGTTTCAAATTATTTTAAATATTTTAAAAGTCTGTTTTGACTTTAAAGTTCTATAATTTAAAATCAAAACTAAGATCAGGTACTAGAGAAAACAGTATAAAGATGTCAATAAAGGACACATAAAGTAACATATGCAGTACCTCCATTTTCCATCACTTATTACACTGCCACTCAGACTCTGGGTTTGCCATACAACAAAAGAATTAATGTCTTTAAATACTACTACTTAGAATGACTAACTTCAGTCACTTTTTTACTAGCTCCCTCAAAAAGTCTGGTAAAGCAATATGGTGCCATGAAATGCACACCAGGCTGGGACCCGGGTAGATTAAAACCAAACATGCTCCTAACAGCTAAGTCACTCTGTACCAGGTACCAAGTGGAAAGATTCCACGAGATAATCCTTAATGAAATGAGCAACTTAAGCATCTGGGCTGAAAACCCCAAAAGCATCAAATGGCATAGTCAGAAGTTCTACAGAGGTACACCATCACTGCAAATTCAGTATGTGGCATTCAGTTATTTGAAATGCAGCTAAAATATAAATAAAGGGGACCTGAAAGTTTGTGCCCAACTACTAAAGTCTTTATACCAAACACCCAGGATTACTAGGAGACTGGTATTTCCATTAAAGGAGTAAATTGCCTCTATAATGAGATAAACTTAAAATTCTGAAGGAATAAGGGGAGAGGTGTTTATCTATTACTATTCCTGGTAAACGTTTACGTACAAAAAATGTTTTTTGTTTTTTATACATGAAGCCCATTTCTTCTACAAGTATCATGAAAAAATATTAGATGAAATAAAATATGGTGGCTTTAAAATAAAAGTTTCAAAAAAATTCTTATTTGTTAATATAATATACAAACATGATGGCAAACTGAGGAAGTTAATTACAAACAGGATTGTAACCTATAGCTTTATGTTGACTTTCAAATTTACACATGCTCCTGTAATTATATGAAGGTTGTTTTTAGCACAAGAATTCAGCAAGATCAGTTTTGGAAAGCAATAGCCACACCACCTCAACAGCTGAAACAATTACTTCTTCAATGCCTATAACACTATTTGTCACAATGATGCTACACACCAACCTTAAAATAAGAATTTTAGCAAGGCATAATATATTTTCAAATAAGATAACAAATATGCTTTGCAAACTGACCATGAAAAGTTAGTTGGATATTTTCAATAGAGTCTATATATGATTACATTTACCTGAAGGAGAAAAGGCAAGAAAATGAAAACTGTTTACTACTAATAACAATACTTAAAATACAATGAAAGGTCTTTCCCCCACCCTTACATGTCAGCAAAATTTAACCTAATAAATGGGAAATTACCTGATGTGGTTAACATTCAAGGGTAGCATTAATGCACACGTGTATCCATAGCTTCACGTCATACAAGTCTGTCTGCACCCCACACCATGACAGCCAAGGACAAATGCAGCACCAAGAAACAGCACAGAGCAAAAAGCAAAGCAACAAAGAGCAGAGAAAAGGAAACTTCAGTCATTGAGACAAGTTCATCAGATGAAGTACAGGAATTAGACCCAGAATTCTTTTTAAAGGAAGGCTTGAGATATTAAAAACAACCACAACAAAAAAAACAACACAAGAAGAAGGATGTGCAACACACATATATCTGCACAATGTGCTACTTTAGTTACACTTATTTCTAACTTCAGAGGAGAGGGATGGCTATGTACATAAAAGCAGCTTCAACAGCTTCTCAGATCTTAAAAAATGTAACTTAAAGAGATTACTTTCTCTCATTGTGTGACTTACTTCCTTCCCTCTTTAATATTCATACTCTTAAAATTTTAAGATACATTTTCTATTTAATTTTTTTAAAAGATTTGCAAGTTGTCACTACTTTTCAAGTTCCTTAACTCATGATTCCTAATTATAGCATACACTTTCATAAATTAATGATAAGCAAATACAAAGAAGCATCACGCTAGAGCACTGTGCACAGCACTCCCATACTAATTTTGTACTACAGGAAATAAAAGAGAAGTGATCTGCAGACTCTATTGTTTCTCTTGTAAGTATACAGTACTTTCAAAGTAGTCACATCACACAAACTCAAGAAGGGAAGAAGCTTTTTGAAAAAGGAAAGATTTAACATGAGAGTAAGTGAACGGTTAGTAAACTCTGGATTTTAGTACCTGTGCTAGAGTGATTATCAATGGACTCAAGCCTGATTAAATCTCTGACGAAGACTGTGTGCTCCCCATTGTTAGCATCATTAGAACTATCCACGCTACCGTGGCTCACCGTGTCCCCATCACTTCCACCTGTGACATTTTGAAGAGCTAAAGATAAGGACAATAGCAATTCAATAACTCATGCATTGATAATCTCTTACACTAAACATGAATGACCCACAGTTCATTTATAGTTGCACAACACTTTCTAAATTTCTGGAAAAAAACAAAAACAATTTTGGACTAAGATAATCTGTCTTTAAATGTATGTGAAAATGTCTACCAGAATTTAAGTTTTCTACTTCACATAGCTAAAAATTCATATGCCTATAAAGCTCATGGTTCAGCAAGGAAGTATATTTCTAATCACATGTATTACCTGATATTGAGGAGACCTGCGACCTTTGCACAGTCTTTTTAAGCGGCTGCCTAAACTGTGCCAAGCCATGTACCACATTCCGCACCTTCGTCCATAAGAAGATACCACTGCGGGTACTGCTAGGCCACGGGCTCTCCAAAACTACCTAAAGGTAAAATAAGGGTAAAAATAATGTTAATTAGCAATATCTGATTTTAAAAATTCATACATATGTGTGTGTATATGTTTATATATATACACACAAATATAAACAGTTATACTGGCCAAGAAGTATATAAAAAAATGCTAAACATTACTAAACATGAGAGAAATGCAAAGTAAGACTACAATGAGATATCTTATCACCTCGTACTTGTTAGAATCACTATTGTCAAAAAAACAAAGGATGTTGATTAAGGATGTGGACAAAAGAACCCCTATACACTCTTGGTGGAAATGCAATTAGTACAGTCATTAAAAAGATTCCTCAAAAACAGTATAGAGTTTGCTAAAAATATTAAAACTAGAACTACCATACCATCCAACAATCCTATTACTGGGTATAGATATGCAAAAGAAATGAAATCAGTATATTGAAGACAGATCTGTACTCCCATGTTTATTGCAGCATTATTCACAATAACCAAGATATGAAATCAACCTAAGTGTTCATCAATGTATGAATGAAGAAAATGTGGTATATATACACAATGAAATACTATTCAGGCTGAAATAAAAAAGGAAACCCAGTCATTTGTGACAATATGAATGAACCCAGAGGACATTATAGTAAGTGAAATAAGCCAGGCACAAAAAGACAAATACCACATGATCTCACATATATATGAGATCCAAGAAAGTGAAACCCATAAAAGTAGAGATTAGAACTATTGTTACCAGGGGCTTTGGGAGGTGAGGGGAAAGGGGGTATTGGAAGATGTTGGTCAAAGGATACAAAATTTCAGTTCGATAGGAGAAATAAATTCAAGAGATATATTAAACAACATGGGGACTACAGTTAATAACAACAGATTGTATTTTGAAAATTGCTAAGAGACTAGAAGTGTTCTTACCACAAAACAATGGTAAGTACGTGAAGGCATATTTTAATTACTTAACAGTTCAATTGAGCCATTCCACAATATACATATCTCAAAACATCATATTGTACATGAAAAATATATATACTTTTTGTCAATTTTAAAAAAATAAACATATTCCAAAACCTCCTTTAATAGGAGTTTCATGAATAACAAAAGCTATACAAAATAATCATTCTCGATAAGCACCACAACTTGCCTACTGTCGATCCTACTTACCTTATTATAATAACCATAAGTAATAGCATTAGGCTTTATCCTAGCAGTTTTCATTTCAAATAAGACTCTCACTGCTAAAACAGGATGACCCCAAAGTCCACAAAGCTGCATCACTACTCGATAGCACACCTAACAAAAGAAAAAAAAAATGGAAGTGTCAGTAATTAGTATACTATGAATTGTAGAGATTTTACTGAATTCTTTCCATGAAGTTATTATAAAGCAGTATTTTCTCCTTTGTTCTGCTTTGAGCATCTCAGCAAATTATTTTTAAGACCTATTCAGGCTGGGTGCAGTGGCTCACACCTCACAGCACTTAGGGGGGCTGAGGCGGGTGCATCACCTGAGGTCAGGAGTTTGAGACCAACCTGGCCAACATGGTGAAACCCCATATCTACTAATAGTACAAAAATTAGATGGACATGGTGGTGCATACCTGTAATCCCAGCTACTTGGGAGGCTGAGGCATGAGAATTGCTTGAACCCAGGAGGCAGACTTTGTAATGAGCCCAGATCACACCACTGCACTCCAGCGTGGGCGACAGAGTGAAACTCTGTCTCAAAACAAAACAAAACAAAAATCTATTCATTAATGCAAGTATCATCATTATTAACTATTTCATATAGGACATATGTGTCCATGTTCCATTTGTTTGAGTAACCAAATCACCACAAAGAGAAAAACTATTACTCCTCACAATTTGAGAGGTAATTCATTTCTAAAATCAAAGATAGAGGCTGGGAGCAATGGCCCACGCCCGTAATCCCAGAATTTTGGCAGGCCCACGCAGGCAGATCACCTGAGGTCAGGAGTTTGAGATCAGCCTGGCCAACACAGTGAAACCCCCTCGCTACAAAAAAAAAATACAAAAATTAGCCATGCGTGGTGGCACGCACTTATAGTCCCAGCTACTTGGGAGAGTGAGGCAGTAGAATTGCTGGAACCCAGGAGTCGGAGATTGTAGTGAGCCGAGACTGCACCACTGCACTCTAGCCTGGAGGAAAAGAGTAAAACTGTCTCTAAATAAACAAATAAACAAATAAATATAAATAAAATCAAGTATAATTAGAGTCTCTCTCTCCCCAATCACTATGCTTTCCATTCAATGCCAAAGAAATTAAAGACAGTATCTCCAAAATGCCTATAGAACAAATAGGATTTGTCTTCAAAAGAATGAGAAGACAGTTAAATATACTATAACATTGTTAGGAAAGACTTTTCATTTTTAATTCCAATCTAGTTCAAAATATCATTTATAGTTATCTTAACACCAAAAAAAATTTTTTAAGGGAAAAATAGCATTGGAAAAAGCTAAATAAGTGCCTCAGTTTCCTCAACCATTAACTGGATAGTATCAGTATCTACTTCTTAGGATGGTTTCTAAGGCTTGAGAGAGAAAATGCATGAAAATGCCTAGTACATCATTCACTGAGTGCTTACTATGAACCAGGCACTTTAAGTATATTGAGTGATTTAACCTTCAAACTAACCTACAATTAAGGTACTAACTATTATTATCTACCTCGGTGGTTCTCCAGGAGCAATTTTGTTCTCTGGGAACATTTTTGATTGTCATGATCTGTGCAGGGAAACAGAGGCATATAGTTGGTAGAGGCCAGGGATACTACTAAACATCCTACACAATGTACAAGACACAAGACAGGCCCTTAAAATAAACAATTATGTGGGCCAAAACATCAATAGTGCCAAAGTTGAGAAGCTCAAAGCTACATTTTCAAATAGATAATCCAAAATACAAACAAGTTACATAGGCCAGGTGCAGTGGCTCGTATCTATAATCTTGGCACTCTGGGAGGCCAAGCAGAAGGATGGCTTGACACCATGAGTTTGAGACCAGCCCAGGTAACATATCAAGACCCCATCTCTACAAAAAATAAAACTAAAATATTAGATGTGGTGGTGTGCACCTGTAATCCCAGCTACTTGGGAGGCTGAGGCAGGAAGACTGCTTGAGCCCTGAAGTTCTAGGCTACAGTGAGCTGTGATAGTGTCACTGCACTCCAGCTTGGGCACGAGTATATATATATACATATATTTTTTTTTTCTGAGTATATATAAATATTTTTAATAAAAATATATTTTTTAATATATATCTTTAAATAGATTATATAACTCACCTTAGGACACAGGTCCTTAGTGGAAAGCCACTTACTAAAAGCCTATTCCCTATCTGCTCCCCAACAAAGTTAAAAGAACAAAAGGAAGCCAGCCACAGTGGCTCATGCCTGCAGTCCCTGCACTTTGGGAGGCCAAGGTGGGGGTTCAAGAGCCAAGAGTTCAATACCAGCCTGAGCAAAAAAGTTAGGCTCCATTCTTTAAAAATAAAAAAAATCAAAAGAAGAAAAACCATATGCCAGGCACAGGACTGTATGCCTGAAGTCCTAGCTACTTGGGAGACAGGTGGGAGAATTGCTTGAGCCCAGGAGTTCAAGGCTGCAGTGAGTCATGACCATTCAACTGCACTCCAGCCTGGGCGAGAGAGGAGCAAGACTCCATCTCTTTAAAAATAACAAACATGGCCAGACATGATGGCGCATGCCTGTAATCCCAGCACTGAGAGCTGAGGCAGGCAGATCATTGAGGCCAGGAGTTTGAGACCAGCCTGGCCAACATGGTGAGACCCCATCTCTATCAAAAATACAAAAAAAAAAAAAAATTAGCCAGGTATGGTGACATGTGCCTACAATTCCAGCTACTTGGGAAGCACAAGAGCTGTCTGAATCCAGGAGGCAGAGGCTGAAGTGAGCCAAGGACGCACCACTGAACTCCAGCCTGGGTGACAGAGCGAGACTCTGTCTCAAAAACAAATAAATAAGTAAAATAAAAAATAAGCACAAGCATCAGCTCCATGTAACAGAGTAATAGTTTTATCTTTCCTGCTTAATGAAAATGCTTGAGCACACTTTAAAGCAACTTAGATCCAAATTTTATTAGAAGTACAAAAATAAAATTTACCTTAGAAACAATGTCAATTTGTTATACTTGCCTCATCTAAGGGATCCACATCTGTTTTCCTCATCTTAATAAGTACATCATATGCCTGCTGAAGTGCTCTGACTTTAGGATGAGAAACCCTAACATAGGCCGGAAGACAAATAAACCATAAACTGTAACAATGACTGAACAGACACTTGGCCCACTGTGATGGATTTGTATAACATCTCTTCGCCAATTTATGAGCTGTTTTTATTTCCTAGAAAGAGAATAAAATATTACGATATTTATTAAAATTCATTAGGGTGAGGGGAGAAGTGAGAAGGAAAAGGGAGAGGAGAATTTAAGTAAAACTTGACCCCTAAAATCAAGCACTTCAAAGTTGACTTTTGTGAGTGGCTTCCTGCTTATTAGTGCTAACGGTTCCCCTGAACATTCATTTACAATAATACTTCATACTATACCAAAACTATTTGTTAGCAAGCATGTGTCTCTTAACAGAGTAGAAATTAAGAGCAAATATCATTCATCTTTTTGTATTAGAATGGCTCACAACATGTCTTTTACAAACAAGGAACTCATTTTTGATGGGTGAAAAAGTGATATTCTTCTCACTCTTCCCTTCGCTAAAGTTTGAGATGCTCTAGGCTATCTCCTGCCAAGATTTCCACTCTGTCTTCCCAAGCTACAGTCTATGTTAACTCCCTCACTGACATATTCCTTAAAAAAGACCTATTTCTGGCCAGGTACGGTGGCTCATGCCCGTAATCCTAGCACTTTGGGAGGCCAAGGCGGACGGATTACGAGGTCAGGAGATCAAGACCAGCCTGGCCAACATGGTGAAACCCGGTCTGTACTTAAAATACGAAAATTAGTCGGGCGTGGTGGCGTGTGCCTGTGGTCCCAGCTACTCGGGAGGTTGAGGCAGGAGAATTGTTTGAACCAGAGAGTCGGAGGTTGCAGTGAGCCAAGACTGCACCACTGCACTCTGGCAACAGAGGGAGACTCCGTCTCAAAAAAAAAACAAAAAAAAAACAACCTACTCCTTTGCAGTCAACATAAACTTTCCCACCTCCTAGTTTGATAGTCGTGTTTTCTAGTTCAGCTTTTCATTCTGATTTAGGTAGAAGAGAGAATAGGGTATCAAAATCATATGCTGAGCTTTTTTTTTTTTTTTTTTTTTTTTTTGAGATGGAGTCTTGCTTTTGTCACCAAGGCTGGAGTGCAATGGCATGATCTCAGCTCACTGCAACCCCCACCTCCTGGGTTCAAGTGATTCTCCTGCCTCAGCCTCCTGAGTAGCTGGGATTACAGGCACCTACCACCATGCCCAGCTAATTTTTGTGTGTGTATTTTTAGTAGAGACAGAGTTTCACCACATTGGCCAGGCTGGTCTCGAACTCTGACCTCAGGTGATCCGCCCGCCTCAGCCTCCCAAAGTGCTGGGATCATAGAAGTGAACTGCTGTGCCCAGCCATCTGCTGAGCTTTATCAAACTATATATATTCCCAGAAACTACAGAGCCTATCACATATATCAGAATGCCATTTTATGCTTTGCACTAAAGATTCCTCCACTAGTCTACGTTCTAAATTAAAAAATTTGGAGGCCGGGCATGGTGGCTCATGTCTATAATCCCAGCACTTTGGGAAGCCGAGGCAGGTGGATCACAAGGTCAAGATATTGAGATCATCCTGGCCAACATGGTAAAGCCCCGTCTCTACTAAAAATACAATAATTAGCTGGGTGTGGTGGTGGGTGCCTGTAATCCCAGCCACTCAGGAGGCTGAGGCAGGAAAATAGCTTGAGCCTGGGAGACGGAGGTTGCAGTGAGCCGAGATCGTGCCACTGCACTCCAGCCTGGGTGACACAGTGAGACTCCACCCTAAAAAAAACAAAACAAAAACAAAAACAAAAAAACTTGGTATATTTTACTTTTGAGCTCAATCTCCACAATACTTCAGTATATATTTTAAAACATATGCCCTTGTTTTTCTAAGATCCTATGGTTCTTTTCTTTTTCAGTTAGCCTGAAAAAAAAATTCTGCTATAAATGAGATTTAGAGGCTGAGTTAGCAAAATTTTCTCATTTTAGAAATTTGCCTTTTGTTAGCTGGTAACAGTAAAAAAAAAATTCTTTAGTATTCTCTTCGAAAAACTGAAAGAAATATGAACTGTATGAATGAAATTAGGAAATACCTCAGGATATCTCTAGGATTTAGGGGGCTATCCCATAAATTAGTAAAATCTGAACTAAGATTTTCATCGTGAAATTTTCCACATTTTGAAGATCCCCAAAATGTCAGTGTATGTATAAAGGATGTTTAATTTTAACTCATATGTAACCACAGCTTAGTTCTTTATACCTAAATCACATATAGTAATAAAGCAAGATGTCTAGTTGTCCTAAGTTAACTCCCTTTGGACTATAATACTTGGAATAAAGTATATTTACATTAGCCATTAGGGAAATGCAAATTTAAAATACAACTTCATACTCACTAAATGGCTATAATCAAAAAGACAAACAATAACAAGAATTGACAAGGATATGTTGTAAAACTGGAACCCTCACACACTGCTGGTGGGAATGGAAAGTGGTGCAGCCACTTTGGAAAACAGCCTGGAAGTGCCTCAAAGGGTTGAACACAGAGTAACCATTTGACATAGCAATTTACTCCTAGATATATAACCCCCCGAAAAATAAAAACATACATCCAAACAAACACTTATACACAAATGTTCATTTGCAATATTCGTAATAGCCAAAAAGTAGGAAGCAGCCACATGTTTATGAACAGACAAATAAAATATGGTATATCCATACAATGGAATATTATTCAGCAATAAAAATTATTACTGATATATGCTGCAACATGGATGAATCCTGAAATGTTACACTAAATGAAAGAAGCCAGTAACAAAAGAATACATATTATGCAGTTCTACTAGTGAAATGCTCAGAATAGACAAATTTATAGACAGAAAACAGACTTGTGGTTGCCTAGGGCTGCTGGGGATTGAGAATTGGGGTTAATGGCTAAAGGATGCAAACTTTCTTTTGGGGTTGATGAAAATATTCTAAAATTAATTGTGGGGGTGGTTGTACAAACCTGTAAATATACTAAAAGCCACCAAATCATACACTTTAAGTGGGTATGCTGTATGGTATATGAATTATATTTCAATTAAGTTTTCTAAAAAGTATATTTGGTTCCTACACTCTTTTTTTTTTTTTCTTGAGACAGATTTTGCTCCTGTTGCCCAGGCTGGAGTGCAATAGCTCAATCCCAGCTCACCACAACCTCCGTCTCCCAGGTTCAAGCAACTCTCCTGCCTCAGCCTCCCGAGTAGCTGGGATTATAGGCATGCACCACCATGCCTGGCTAATTTTGTATTTTTAGTAGAGACGGAGTTTCTCCATGTTGGTCAGGTTGGTCTCAAACTCCCCGTGATCCGCCTGCCTCGGCCTCCCAAAGTGCTGGGATTACAGGCATGAGCCACCGCACCCGGCCAATTCCTATGGATAGTCTTAAAGCATAAACATAAGCATTCGAAAACTTCAGCCTTGACTGATTGACAGATAGATAGATAGATAGACAGACAGATAGATAGATAGATAGACAGACAGACAGATAGATAGATTAATAGAAAGACTTTTTTGAGATGGAGTTTCACTCTTGTCGCCCAGGCTGGAGTGCAGTGGCACAATCTCGGCTCACTGCAACCTCCATCTCCCGGGTTCAAGCGATTCTCCTGCCTCAGCCTCCTGAGTAGCTGGGATCACAGGCGCCTGCCACCATACCCGGCTTATTTTTGTATTTTTAATGGAGATGGGGTTTCACCAAGTTGGCCAGGCTGGTCTCTAACTCCTGACCTCAAGTGATTTGCTCACCTCAGCCTCCCAAAGTGCTGGGATTACAGGCATGAGCCACCATGCTTGGCCCAGACTTGATATTTTAAGTAGGCTTGCAAGAAATCTAGTTAAATTCAATAACAACCATAGTGAGTCTTCAAATGGTTGTTGTGGGTGATCATTCTAAACTATGAGCTGCATATCGCATATACATATTTTACATATTAAATGAACATGTATTAGATAAAGAATATCTGACCTGTTTAGTTCTCTTAGCCATGAGAGCTGGACTCTTTGTAATGCTACTCCCAGTAGGGTGTCTACTAAAACAAAGTTTCAACTCCTGCGGTCTGTCAAAAAGCTTAAGGTCCAGTCTTGGAAAGTATTTGTAACTAAAATAAAAAGCAAAAATAGAACTGCTGATTTAAAACACACCAACTCTTCATATTATTCCAGCGGTTAGGCAAATATTTCTAAACTTCAAATAGTACCCAACATTATTTTAAATGCTTATATAGAAAAAATACTTTTTAAAATTTTTAAATGCTATAACATACAGAGACCACCTTCATGAAAATTTTGTCTCTTCCCCACCCTAGTTGTCATTTTCAATCAATCTCTAAACCACAGAAAACTCTGATTAAAGGGAGAAATAACTCCTTCAAGAGAATCCATGTATTCCATAATTTATGTTTTAAAAAATTTTAGTATACTTCATAATTTTATGTTTTTCTTCATAAAATTACCTTGCATAGGTATTTAAAATAAAAAAATCCATAAAATTTTTATTTTAAGGATGTACCACAATTTAAGCAGTTTTTCACTGCTGGACATTATGAGGTTGTAGATTGTTTCTAAATTTCTCCAATTAAATATTTTCATATGTATATCTTTGTGAATACTTTTGCTTAATTTCATAGGATGAATATCCAATAATAGAATTTGCTAGGTCCATGTTTATCAAAAGAATTAAAATTATTATAATTAATATCAAATTATTTCAAAAAAGATTATACTTAAACATACATTCTAACTACTAGCATAACCTATTCTCAATGTCAAAAGTTTCTATTCATCAATTTGGTTTGCATTTCTTTGAATGCAAAAAACCATAACATATTTTTATATTATTGACTTTGGCTTTCTTGGAAATTGTCTACTTATTTCTTTTGGCCAATTTTCTTCCAGGAGATATTGCCTTTCCATATTTGATTTTATCTTGTTTGTCAGTATCTGCATTCCAATTTCTAGCAGTTAAGCCAAAGTAGAAAAGAATTCTATAGTTAACATGAAATCAAAATAGTATTTAATTAACCCATTCAATCCCAGATATATTCTTCATTCTGATCCAGTCCTCTTGATATTATACATTAATTCTCTATTTTAGGAAGGTACTTACTTTACTTTCCATTTTAGAAATTTTTTTAGAAAAACAGCCTAAGACAATAACTGTGTACGTACACAAAGATATAGACAGCAAATAACTACAGACAAATCCGTAAGAGGCTAGTTAAATAAATCATAATAAATGCATACAATGTGGTCATTACAAATGATAAGGCACAAACATACTTAATGGCATGGGAAAATGTTCAGACCACTAAAGGCAAACATAGATTACAAAGGGAATCTACCTGATGAACTCATACATGCAATACATACACACATAAATCCACATAAATACATGCCCACAATTGTCAAGAGACACAAGTACTGGTGCTAGAATGATGTATTAGTTTTCCATTTTCGTTTGATTTTCTAAATTTATTAAATTTGTAGTAATAAAAAAACTACAAAATCCATTCTAATTTCTTAAAAGAGTCACATCCAAATCCTATCTTTTATCTTAAAAAAGAGTAAATTCCTGGCCCTCTACCTTAAGTTTTCTCGGAAAATTACCAATTCATAAGAATTTCACAGTCTTTGTATCAACATTAAAACTCCCAAAGTGAGCGGGAAGCCTCATAAAAGTAACATTTTTCTTCTTCAGAATTGAAACTTTTAAAGATTAAAATACAAACACTAAGGTAAACAATGATCAACATCTAACAATATCATCCAATTTTTAAATTATAACACCTAGTGGCATTTCCATAAAATATTTATCTACATTAGTTCACCAAATTAATAACGAAAATGAGTTTCACAAAAGACTAATATACATATCTACTAATAAAAATTAAAAGAAACTAATAGGCTGTGCCTAAATAGCTCTTTGAAAACTTCCTACTACCTGTACTTTGGTGACAGGTCCTTTCCATCATCAGGAGGTGGCTCTGGTGGCATTATAAATACAGTATGCTCACTTTTCTGTGAATCATCCAGTTCTATTAATCTGGTATCTTCTGCTGAATCAAAATCAACCTGAAAATAATTATTTTTCCCCAATTAATTTGCATACAAACAAGATCTAATTCTGAAATTTCAACCCTTAAAGTCTAAGAAAAACATACCTTATCTGATTTCTCTGTGCCTTTATCAGGAAACAACTAGAAAAAAAGAAAACAGATTCCTAATGAAAATGTCCACTATGAATTTAATAGACATTTTTATCTTACATTCTGATTTAGAAAAAAACTACCCCTTTTCAGTACCGGCTGATACAAAACATTGCAAAGTATATTTTTAGGCTAACTACATACTCTTAGGCTAAAGCATAATTTTTTACTTGTGACTATTAGGATAGAAAACTATTTTGATTAGTCATTTTGTAAACCCATCTTAAGACAAAAGATGACCAATCACAAGGTTATCTGGCTTCTCAAATAAAAAATTTCATTACTATTAAGCCCCTTTATTAGTGATTGACATTAAGCTTCTCATATAACTGGAAGACACTGGAATATCAATTTTGTAAATAAACAAAAATGTTGAATAGTTTTAATTATATACTTGGAATTTTAGATCACACTGATAGGAGAAAATTATTCAAATCTTCTAAGGCACATGAATCATGAGGGGGCCAAAAAAATTAATGTTGTAATATTCTACCTTTTTTGGATACAATCTCAAATGTTATATAATATACGGTTTGCATAAAAAACTGGCCCCAAGATCTACTTAGCAAAAATAAGAATTATATTAAAAATTAGGAAAAATTATAACCAAGTCATTGCTGTCAAGAATCAATTTTAACTTCCTTAGGATGGGTGGGTAAAGCTTTAAAATTTAACATTTCCATCTTCCATTAGAACAAAAGAAACATACTAGGCAAAAGAATTTGGAAAGACATTAAAACAAAAGAACACAACTTCTATTACCCATAAAACTAAACATTTTTTAATTTAAAAACCTAAATCTTAAAGTAAATCTTATTCATTTAAATTAAAAAAAAATAAACTCACAAGGCTCAAGGAAATGTTCTTAGTTTTACAACTCAATAGTTGTAAATGAAAGTGAGATTTAAAGAGAAAATTTACTGGCTGGACATGGTGGCTCATCCTGTAATCCCAAGGATTTGTGAGGCCAAGGTGGGAGGATCGCTTGAGCCCAGGAGTTTGAGACCAGCCTGGGCAATACAGTGAGACCTCATCTCTACTAAAAATTTTAAAAACTAGCCAGGCGTAGCACATGCCTGTAGTCCTAGCTACTCAGAAGGCTAAGGTGGGAGAATCACTTCAGGCAAGAAGTTTGAAGTTGCAATGAGCTATGATCATGCGACTGCAACCCAGCCTGGGTGACAGAATGAGATGCTGTTTCAATCAATGGATCAATCAATAAAGAAGAGAAAACTTGGCTATATGTGGTAGCAACTTGATACCACAAAGAAAATTATTCTTATATTCAGCCCAGAATCAGTAACACATACACACACATACACAACCCTATACTGTCTTCCTTATATCACTCTAGACTAACAATAACAATGATAATTATACAGGTAAGGCAAACTTTTTTTTCTAAACACTAGTATTTAAGTACAAACTTTTACCTTTTCTATGCAATCATCAAAAAATGCTAATCCAGTATCTTTATCACTTACAAAACTGCATTCTTCAATGAAACGAATAAAAATCTGTGTTTTGGATAAAAGGGTATAGAATTTTGCATAGGCACGATCTCGACTTTTTAAAAACCCTGAGGAAAACAAAATTATAATTAAATTCAAATTTTAAACTAGAATTCGATATTATAGTAAACATTAAACTTGTACTTATCTATATTACATTCTCTTTATCTATATGTGTATATATCGACATTTAAAGAGAAGCTTCTACAAATTGAGTATCCCTTATCTGAAATGCTTGGGACCAAAAGTGTTTCAGATTTCGAATTTTTTTTTTTAAGATTTTGAAATATTTGCATGCGCACAATCAGATATCTTGGGGATGAGACCCAAGTAAACAGGAAATTCATTTATGTTTCATATATACATTATACGCACAGTCTGAAGGGAATGTTATACAATACTTTCAATGATCCTGTGCATGAAACAAAGTGTGTGTTAAGTACTTACGTGTGGAATTTTCCACTTGTGGCATCATGTCAGCACTCAGAAAGTTTCAGATTCTGGGCATTCCAGGTTTTGGATTTTCAGATTAGGGAAGCTCAACCTGTAGTAACTACATATATAGCTCCTTCTGCCTAATTAAACCATGAAAAATACTTAACTTCTATCAACCCCTTCACTGAAATCTGAATCCCCTATAAGGAACCTCCAGCTCTACAACTTTTAAGTAGAAATTTCTCTGATACTCTGCATACTCTTGAGTCCATAGTCAATTTCCAAAGAGCCAATGTCCTTCCTCTTTAATGTCACAAGACCATTATTTCTGTATTGTTTTTCAAATTTCTGCTTATTAAAGTTTCAAGCATCTGGCTATTCCACCATTTCCTCTATTAATCGTAGTCCTCTATTAATTGCAGGGACACTCCTTCATTCACTGAAGACCAGGACATTTGATTCAAAGTCTCCTCCTTTCTAATCCCTACCACCATCATTCTTCCACACCCAGAAACACAAATCATGAAAACACTTTAGGTTCGTCTTCATTCCTTTTTTTTTTTGAGACAGAGTCTAGCTCTTGTCCCCCAGGCTGGAGTGCAGCGGCGTGATCTTGGCTCACTGCAACCTCCGCCTCCCAGGTTCAAGTGATTCTCTGCCTCAGCCTCCTGAGTATCTGGGATTAGAGGTGCCCATCACCATACCTGGCTAACTTTTGTATTTTTCGTAGAGACAGGGTTTTACCATGTTGGTCAGGCTGGTCTCGAACTTCTGACCTCAGGTGATCAGCCCGCCTCGGCCTCCCAAAGTTCCGGCATTACAGGCGTGAGCCACTGCACCTGGCCTCTTTTCTTTTAAGAGATGGGTGTCTTGCTATGTTGACAAAGCTGGTCTCGAACTCCTGGCCTCAAGTGATCCTCCCATCTCAGCCTCCCAAACTGCTAGAATTACAAGCATGAGCCACCATGCCCAGCCTTCATTCCTTGATTTTCAATGTTCCTATGCTCCATCCTACCTCAATCACCAACTTCAACACACAGTCACAGTCCCTTGACTTTACTTGCTAGCATTCAAAGCAGCACTGCCTTCCAAATCTCTCATTTTCACATCACTCCCAGCCCATCACCTCTGCCTATCTGGTCTCTTTAATTAAGTATTTCTACTAAGTGTTTTAGCGTTTTCTACTGGGGGAGCAGAGAGGGAAGGCTCATTGAAATCTCCAATTCACTGGCCCTTTTACCTCCACATACATCCTCCCATCTTCACTTCTTTCTCTATCTAATACTCATTCCATGCTATATCCATCATTTCAATTACTGTTTTGTCAATACTCTCAACCCTTTTGCTCTTTTGTCTTTTTGGTTAAACCTACCTAGCATAACCCAGCTCTGGAAGAATGTACTGCTTGCCTTCTCTGGATCTGCATTAGGGTGACTAAGCATAAGTTAAGGGGAAAAAAGTTCCACAACTAGGCAGATTAGAAGCACTTATACCTTCATCCCTGACCAGCAATCCTACTACATTTCTAGAATCAATTTAATTTTCCTTTTCACGTTTCCACAACTATTTCCTATTTGTATATGCTCTCCCTTCATGTTTTTGTGCCCCCTCCGTACCCCGAAATGAGCATACTTTATATTGCAATGAAAATGCAGATCATTAAATAGAAACTATGTATACTATCTCACTACATAACTTACGACTCTTTAACAGTTATCATTCATTCCTTCTGTCTTTTTACAGTGGATATGTTCCTCCTCCTATCTAAGGACAAACCATCACATGACTTCAGGATTCCAGCTCCTTCCAGTGTTCTCGGGATAAATCTCCCTCTCTATTAACTACTTCTCTCTTTTTTTTTTTCTTTTTTGAGATGGAGTCTTGCTCTATTACCCAGAATGGAGTTCAGTGGTGTAATCTCGGCTCACTACAACCTCCACCTCCCAGGTTCAAGTGATTCTCCTGCCTCAGCCTCCCAAATAACTGGGACTACAGGCATGCGCCACCACTCCCGGCTAATGTTTGTATTTTTAGTAGAGACAGACGGGGTTTTGCCATGTTGGCCAGGCTGATCTCAAACTCCTGACCTCAAGTGATCTGCCTGCCTCGACCTCCCAAAATGCTGGGATTACAGGCGTGGGCCACTGTGCCCAGCCTCTATTAGCTATTTCTCATCAGCATACTCAAGTCTCTTTTTCTATCTTAAAAAAAAAAAAAAAAAAGCCTTCGATCTGCTCCTTCCCTTTTTTCTGTTGTTTTACTTTTTATAAAGGGCATGGCCATTCACTTGGTTGTTAAAGGCAAAACCCTCAAAGCTGCTCTTGATATCTCCCACTCTATCTTACATTCCATATTCAATTACCAGGTTCTACTTGATCTAATTCCTAAACAAATCATTCTTCTATTCACACTATCATCAATTAATCCAGGTCACCTCTAATAATCCCTAGAACCAATGTGGCTACTTCCTAAATAGAAGATCCATGCTTCAATGCCTCCAGTGCAATCTCTGTATGGAAGCCAAGGAGATTCTTCTTTTTAACATTTCAAAGAGTGATTTTTTTAAAAAATGCAAATCTGATCCTATTACCTAATGAAATATCCTTTACAGGCTTCCAATTACTCTTAGGATAAAAACTGAAACCAGCACTAATCCTAAAACATCCTGCATAACTTAGTTAATGCCACCATTTCAAACATGGTTTTCTCTGCAGCCTTTCTTTCTTTGATGCTGTGGTCCTGATTCCCATCCCCTTTATATACTAATTAGTAGAAAAAAGCTTAAATAAAATAGAAATAAATTATTCTCCACAAGTTATAATGAAAAGGCTTTCTTTCCTTCTAGTGGATCCAGGCAATGATAGCAAAGGCTGCTAAACCAAATAAGTCAAAGGCTAACGGGTGACCTACAATGAATGAATGAGGCTGACAACACCTTAAACCTATTAGGAACACTAAAAGTAGGACAGCCAGACATGTATGTGCCTCTCAAGATGATGCAATGGGAAGAAGTGAACACCATGTATTTTGGCACTTCTTGCCAAGATAATTAAACCTGAATCTAACCAAGCCACTAGATCTGCACTGTTTAATTCAGTAGTCACTATCTTCATATGGCAATTTAGCACTTGAAATGTAACTGATCCAAATTAAGACACACTGTAAGTAAAAAATACATGCCAGAACTGAAAGATGTGGGCCAAGCGCAGAGGCTCACGCCTGTAATCCCAGCATTTTGGAAGGCCAAGGCAGGCGGATCACCTGAGGTCAGCAGATCGAGACCAGTCTGGCCAACATGGCTAAACTCCGTCTCCACTTAAAATACAAAAATTAGCCAGGCATGGTGGTGCACGCCTGTAATCCCAGCTACTCGGGAGGCTGAGGCGGGAGAATCACTTGAGCCTGGGAGGCAGAGGTTGCAGTGAGCCAAGACTGCATCACTGCATTCCACCTGGGCAACAGAGCAAGACCGTCTTTATAAAAAAAAAAAAAAGAAAAAAAGAAAAAAGATGTTTGTGAAAAAAATGTAAACGATTTCATCAATAATTTTAAAAATCAGATTACATGCTGAAATGCTACTATTTTCCCCCTATTTTTCACTTTTTTATTGTGGCTACTAAAATAATTTTAAATTTTATATGTGCCTTACATTGTGTTTCTACTGGACACTGCAGCTCTTGAACCTACCACAAGTTTACAGGCAATACAAGTGGTAGAAGAAATGGTAAATAACAACATAAGGTAAAATAAGCCAAAGCTACATATACAAAATTCCTAGTTAATTACTATTGCTTTTTAGACCCAAACTTAAAAGTAGCACACCAAAGGATACCTTAGGACACTAATATTCCTTGTTATTTCTTCAAGGAATATTTCTCTGACCTAACTAGCACTAACGCTGTGATCAATACTTTCCTTCAAAACACACTTCTTAAGATAGATAGTATTTACATTTTTTTCTTGTCTAATGTCTGTGTCCCCTAGTAGACCAAATGCTGAACTGTTTACAATAAAACCTTAGGGCCTGAAAACTGAGTAAGTATCTTTTCAAATTCCTTTAGTGATGTCACTCCCGTACAATCCATATTCTTCATCTGGCATTTACAACTACCCACAATCTGAGCCCTAATCTTATTTTCAGCCTTATCTTCCACAGCACCTCTAAAGCTCATCACTCTGGTCAAATTGTACCATGTAATCTTTTTTCCCAAATGTGCTGTCATGAGTGAAACTGTGTCCCCCTCAAAATGTATACATACATATATATATATGTATTTTTTTTTTGAGATGAAATTTCAGTCTTGTTGCCCAGGCTGGAGTACAGTGATCTCGGCTCACCACAACCTCTGCCTCCTGGGTTGAAGAGATTCTCCTGCCTCAGTCTTCTGAGTGGCTGGGATTACAGGCATGTGCCACCACACCTGGCTAACTTTTGTATTTTTAGTAGAGACAGGGTTTTGCCATGTTGGCCAGACTGGTCTCAAACTCCTGACCTCAGGTGATCGGCTTTCCTTGGCCTCCCAAAGTGCTGGGATTACAGGCATGAGCCAATGTGCCTGGCCCAAAATTTATATATTAAGTTCCTAGCCCCCAGTACCTCGGAATGTAACTATTTGGAGATAGGGTCTTTAAAGAGGTAATTAAGCTAAAATGAGGATTATGGGGTAGACCCTAGTTCAGTAAGACTGGTAGCCTTGTAAGAGGAGGATATTTGGACATAAGACAAACACTGAAGGAAGACCACATGGAAAAAACAGCTATCTACAAGCCAAGGGAAGAGGCTTCAGAAGAAACCAAACCTGCTAACTACCTTCATCTCAGTTAAACCTCCAAAACCACGAGAAAATAATTTCTGTTGTTTAAGCCACCTAGTCTGTGGTATTTTGTTATGGTAGACCCAGCAAACTAATCTGCAGGCCTTGTGCTTTAGATCTTGATGCTTCTTCCATTTTATTACCATGAATGATAATAGCTGTTATCATGAGTATTTTAAAGTACTTGTACTAGTTGCTTCACATATATTTTCTCATTTAATCTTCACAACAATGAAGTAGATATAGCCCCCATGTTATTAATGAGAACACTTTATTTTTTTTTTTTTTAATTTTTTTGAGACGGAGTTCCACTCTTGTCACCCAGGCTGGAGTGCAATGGCACAATCTTGGCTCTCTGCAACCTCTGTCTCCCAAGTTCAAGTGATTCTCCTCCCTCAGCCTCCTGAATAGCTGGCATTACAGGCACACACCACCACACCCGGCTAATTTTTATATTTTTCGTAGAGGTAGGGTTTCACCATGTTGGCCAGGCTGGTCTTGAACTCCTGACCTCAGGTGATCTGCCTGCCTTTGTCTCCCAAAGTGGTGGGATTACAGGCATGAGCCACTGCGTCCGGTCGAGAAAACTTGACTTCCAGAAAGCCTTTCCTGTTCTTCTCCATTTATCTCCATTCTACCCATTCTTCTAAGTCATGCTTCTTCCATGAAGTCTTCCAAAATACCCATTTTGAAATACTGGAATATTTGGAAGAATATCCCTTTTTTTCCTGAACTCTTAAAACTTCCAAATTAAAACTGTGTAAAATATGTTTTCTTGACTACTTGTTCTATTTTTAAAATATTTTAATTATTTTCCATTTAAGACCCCATAGAGCTAGGTTTTATACTTCTTTATATTCCTACATAACTAGCCAGTAAGTGGTAACTAAATATTTAAGTGGTAAGTTATCTTAAAGCAGAAAAGATAAAGGACAAAAGGATTAATGGAAAAATATAGATTTTTTTTGTAATCGCTAGGTAAAAAGCACAGAAAAGTAAAATAATTTCAAATAAATATTGATATAGATGTAAGATTGCTACTATATATATAACAGTAGCTGAAGAACAACAAAAATCTCTATCTATAATTCCCTAAAACAAAACATACTAAAAATAATGAGTATATGTTTTTCCCTGGAACAAAGCTACATTAGTCAAAAATGTTTAAAATGTGGTGCCCTCATTGCACAAACTAATTGTAAAGCCAAAAGTGTATACATCTGGCCAAGTGCAGTGGCTCACACCTGTAATCCCAGCATTTTGGAAAGCCGAGGGAGGAGGATCACTTGAGGCCAGGAGTTCAAGTCCAGCCTGGCCAATATAGCAAGACTCCACTCTATTTAAAAAAAAAAAAGAAAAAAAAAGTGTACAAATCCAAGAACTACGGAAAATTGAGGAAATACCTAAATACCTGAAGGCAAATCTCCAGTTATGTTCTACTAAGATAACTGACAAGGTATTGTAAATATAGGTAACACCTTTGACTTTTCATAATTAAATATGCCTAGTTTCAGATTTCTCAGGAAAAAAATGGGCTATAAAAATTACAAGAAATTCTAGTCATAAAGTTCGGTTACAAATACATGGAAGTTCATTATATTTGAATGTGAATTTGTAATAATTTATACAGTAAGTATTTCTTGGCAACAACATCAAATATAAAATATTGTCACTTCAATAAAAGGAATTGTACTTTCAGTGCTACCCACCCTGTCGGTCAAACAATGAATCAGCAGCTGTGGCTTTATTTGAAGGAGCCTCTGTGATTGGTCTGAGAAATGTTCTATATCCTTTTAAAATAGATGCCATAAAGCGCAAAAATGCCTCTTGAATTTCCATCTCAAGCTGTGTCATCTTCTTTTGCCAGGAGAAATCTGCTTCAATTGGGGTCATGTCAATCGCTGAGCCTTCTTGAGTTTTTCGGTGAACTAACAAAGGAAAGAAAAACAGAAAATGGTATTATGTTAAATTTAAGAAGAATTTTCTCATATACATTCCTTCATTAATAGTATTCCTTTTCCCTCACATTACCTGAAGACAGCTGGGGATACAATTTCTTTAAGGTGCTAAGTAGATTTTTGCATGGCTTTTTGGGAAGTTGCTTCCAGTTCATGTTCTTCTTTTCATCTGATCTATTAAATCAGAACAAAATTCATAAAATGTGTTATTCATAATCTGCTTTTACTAAACAAAATTCTTGCATCAACCTAAAACTAGAAAATGGAAAAGATGTTTTTACTGCAGTCATAACTGATGCAAACAGTTTGAATAAGTGAATTTCAAGGAAGTTCTCTTTTCATTCAACCAACCTCTGTCAAATTTAGCCATCTCATCCTAACCTTCCAACACGTATTTTCAATGCTGGAGTCAGGAATACAACACTGAAGTCTAGCTTCAAAAACTACATTTTAGAATTATAATATTCTAAGAGTCAAATCTAGTTGACTTGAGACTTCAAACTACCTACTGGTAGGCTTCTAAAATGCTGTGTGCCCAAAGAGAAGAATTGGAATTTAAGTAAGGATTAAAAGTATATGTAGTTCATCCAGCCCTCACAGTTAAAAATAAATTAATCATAACACCATTATTCAATATAATCTATGATCATGAAACAACAAAAACCAAAGCCAGACCACCCTGGCCAACATGGTGAAACACTGTCTCTACTAAAAGCACAAAAATCAGCCGGGTGTGGTGGTGTGTGCCTGTAATCCCAGCTACTCAGGAGGCTGAGGTAGAAGAATCACTTGAGCCTAGGAGGCGGCGGTTGCAGTGAGCCGAGATTGCGCTACTGCACTTCAGCTTGGGCAACAGAGCAAGACTCTGCCTCAAAAACAAAAACAAAACAAAACAAAAAAAACCCAAAGCCATAGAGATGACCATTTTTAAAGGTATTACTAAAAGCTTCTGTTTCCAAAACTTTATATTCCAAAAATACAAAATATATATATCTCTGTGTGTGTGTGTGTGTGTGTGTGTGTATATATATTCCAAGAATATAAGAATATAAAATACAACAGACAGAACTGCCTAAAAAGCCCTCTTTTTACAAAAGTTAACATAAATATAACAAATGTTCTTTAAAATTCATGGCTAAGCTGGCAAGAAAATCAGGGAAATCTTCAGGGGTTGAAAACCCAGAGTAACACCAAGGCCACATCTGCCCTGAGGATTAACAGACAGCCTTGGATTTTAAAGGCTTCTCACAGAACAGGAGACCAAGTTTCAGTCTCACCAAGAAGTATGTTAGAACTGAAACTTCCAAATAAAACTGGTACGCTTGAAAGGCTGACTCTGCTTTTTCTTTTTTTTTCCTTTTTTTTTTTTAAGACACAGTCTCACTCTGTCATCTAGGCTGGAGTGCAGTGGTACGATCTCAGCTCACTGCAACCTCCGCCTTCCAGGTTCAAGCAATTCTCTGGCCTCAGTCTCCTAAGTAGCTAGGATTACAGGAGAGTGCCACCACACCCAGCTAATTTTTTATTTTAGTAAAGACAGGGTTTCATCATGTTGGTCAGGCTGGTCTCGAACTCCTGACCTCATGTGATCCCCCCACCTTGGCCTCCCGAAGTGCTGGGATTACAGGCATGAGCCACCGCACCCAGCCTGATTCTTTTTTTAACCCGAAATGCTACAATTCTAAGCCCTTTCCCTAAGTCAGTGAATTGCTTAGGTTTCTCTAAATGTAGCATGGCATAATGAAAAGCTTTAGGATCAACCTGGAATCCTGGTTGTACCTTTATATTAGCTGATTAACGAAATTAATAAATTTAATAAACATTTAATTTTTAATAAAAAAATAAATTATTTTTTATTTTAATCAGGTTCTATTTTATAGTATTGTTCTTTAGTACTCAGTGCAGTTCACATGTAGTTTTTTTTCTAAGCAAGTGATTGCATTTTGGAATCTTTTTTTTGCATACTTTAAATCTTTTAACAAAATATGTCAATATTTTTTTAAATTTCAATAGGTTTTGGGGGAACAGGTGGTATCTGGTTACATGAATTAGTTCTTTAGTGATGATTTCTGAGATTTAGGTGCACCCATCACCCAAGTAGTATACACTGTACCCCATGTGTAGTCTTTGCTCTGTCGCCCAGACTGGAGTGCAGAGGTGCGATCTTGGCTCACTGTGACCTCCACCTCCCGGGTTCAAGCGATTCTCCTGCCTCAGGCTCCCAAGTAGCTGGGACTACAGGCGTGTGGCACCATACCCAGTTAATTTTTTGTATTTTTAGTAGAGACAGAGTTTCACCGTGTTAGCCAGGATGGTCTCGATCTCCTGACCTCGTGATCCGCCTGCCTTGGCCTCCCAAGGTGCTGGGGCTACAGGCATGAGCCACCGCGCCTGGCCTCATGTGTAGTCTTTTATTCCTCAACCCCCTCCCACCCTTTCCCCCAAGTCTCCAAAGTCCATTGTATCATTCTTCGCCCCCCGCCCCCACCCCGAGGGGAAGTCTCACTGTTTCCCAGGCTATAGTACAGTGGCACCATCTCAGCTCATTGCAACCTCTTCCTTCCAAGTTCAAGCGATTTTCCTGCCTCGGCTTCCCAAGTAGTTGGCATTACAGGCACATGCCACCACACCCGGCTAATCATTGCATCATTCTTATGCCTTGTGTCCTCATAGCGTAGCTCCCTCAGCTTGGATTTTGATTAGGGGAGGGATCTCTCCTGAGAATTCATTACTGTATGCCTGCCAACTAATGGGTTATGAGTTTGACTGCATGCTACTGGCATGGCACAAGAAACTGTAAGTCAAAATAACTAACTTCAAGTGCTCCCTGGCTTAATGCCACCAGAATGGAAGCAAACATAATATCCTCTCTGTTAAGAATAAATGTCTAATAAAAGAGCTAACACTTCCTTTGTGCCTGGTACTGTTAAAAGATATATTTTAACATCTCTTGAAACTGTGTCTTAAAAGTGATGGCATGTCAAGTTAAACTCTGATCAATTTATCTCATTTTATGTCATCGCTGTCTAATATTTTAGTGCTATCTTTTAACCCCCTCCCCCAAATAAAATATTGTCATTATTGTCTGGATTATCATCCATTTGTAATCTGGCTCTGACATTTACTGTGTGACTTTGTATAAATCACTCAACTCGTCTGTTACTCAATTTTCTGATCTACAAAATGAGAACTGATAATGTACCTAATACACAGGGCTGCTGTAGGTAGATGAAATGCATCTCATCTAACCTAAAGGGCCATTAATTGTAAAATTTATTGTTTTTGTACCAGTAAAAGAGGATGTTGACAATTAAAGTATTTTAAAGTCTACTTTACTGCTTGAAAAAAGAGTAAAATATTAATTTCAAGTTCTAAGCACCCATATTAAAAAATTAAGAGGAATCATTAAAGGAACATAAATATGAAATTATACATATATATATACACACACATATAATATAACATTTAGGTAAGCAGATGGGAAAAAAACAATAATTCATTCAATCTGAAAGAGAGAAAAGAATAATAGCAAAACAAAAAGGACAAAATGAGACAGAAATATTCAAATATATAACAATACATGTAAATTAATGGATTCTTCAACAAAAAGACAAATGTTAGATTGGATTTCTAATGCCAGTTATACACTATACACAATATCTGAAATTAAAAGGATGGGAAAAGATATACCAAAGATAATATATCTAACATAATGTATTAATGAGAAGAAAAGCACAAACTAACAACAAGAGCATCAGTGATTTTTTTTAAAGTAGCTACAAGATAAAAGTATTCATTTAACTGCAGAACCATTTTCAACTTGAGTGTCCCTCATAACACAGCCTTAATTAAGTACATAAAGCAAATGTCCAAATAACTATAAAATGCAATTGACAAATCCACCATCACACTGGGAGTTTTAAAACTTTAATATGATCACACAGCTCAAAAATAACTTAAACACATACACACACCCTTGTTCCACGTCTGATCAGTTCCCTCACCCCCATAATACATAATCACTAGTTTCTTGAGCATATTTTAATGTGTCTTTATTCCAAAACTAGCAGATACAAGTAAATACAACTATTCCCTGCCTTTTCTTTTGCGCAAGTAGCAGCACGCTGCAATACACAATTACCACCTTGATTTTTTTCATTTAATAATGTATCTTTTGTAGCCAGGCAGGGTGGCTCACACCTGTAATCCCAGCACTTTGGGAGGCTGATGTAGGCATATCACTTTAGGCCAGGAGTTTGAAACCAGCCTGGCCAACATGGCGAAACCCCATCTCTGTCATAACTACTCAAATGTGCTGTTGCATCATGAAAGCAGGCATGGACCATATGTAAATGAATGAGCATGGCTCTGTTCCAATAAAACTTTATTTACAAAAACAAGCTTTGGGCCAGATGTCAATCCCTGCTGTATACCAATAATCATAATTTATGATAAACTGCTCAAAACATCCCCTTTGAAATTAGAAACAAGACAAGATACCAACTATAACTACTTATATTCAACATTACGCTAGTGATCCTAGCTGGAGAATTAAGACAAAAAAATTTAAAATACATTAGGATAGTGTAAGTAGAGAAATGTGATGTTTATAGGCAGAAAATTGAAGACATTATATAAATTAAGAGAATTCAACTAAGTTGTTAGATATAAGGCCGCTATATAAAAACCAACTACATTTCCCAGCAACAAAGTCTAATTAAAAATACCATTTACAGTAGCAATAAAAACTGAAAGATACTTAGGAACAAATAAGTCTAACAAAAGATGTGAATTATCTTTCTGGAGAAAACACAAAGTTTACTGAAAAATTTTGAAAGATCAATGAAATGAAATACCACATTCATGGGTCATATTTCTTGTGCATATTTTCAATGTGTGTCAAAAAGATATCATCTGCCTCCAAACGAATCTATAAATACAATAAAATTCTAACAAAAATCCCAATGTAATTTTGTGTAGAGCTTAACAAGATGGTATTAAAATTTATACGGAAAAACAAAAGACCAAATGGAGTGAAAACAATTTTCAAAAAGAACAGGAGTAAGGGGATTTGCCATGGACACTGCCAAGAAAAGGTCTCATACCATGACTTTTTAAAACAGTTTTATTAAGATATAAAGTCATATGCCATACAATTCACCCATGTGACATGTGCAATTCAATGGTTTTTATTATATTCACGGAATTGTGTAACCACCACTACAATCAAATTTTTTTTTTTTTTTTTTTTGAGACGGAGTTTTGCTCTTGTTGCCCAGGCTGGAGTGCAATGACGCGATCTCATATCACTGCGACCTCTGCCTCCCAGGTTCAAGCAATTCTCCTGCCTCAGCCTCCTGAGTAGCTGGGATTACAGGCATGCGCCACCACGCCTGGCTAGCTTTGTTATTTTAGTAGAGACGGGGTTTCTCCATGTTGGTCAAGCTGGTCTCAAACTCCCGATCTCAGAAGATCCACCCGCCTCAGCCTCCCAAAGTACTGGGATTACAGGCGTGAGCCACTGCTCCCAGCCTACAAGCAATTTTAGAATATTTTCATCACCTCAAAAAGAAATCCCATAGTCACTTAGTTTCCAATACTCCCATCCTCTCCATTCCAAGGCAATCACTAATCAATCTACTTTCTGCCTCTAAAGATTTGCCTGCTTTGGACATTTCATATAAATTAAATCATAATATAAGGTCTTTTAACATAATGTTTTCAAGGTTCATTCATGTTGTAGACAACTTAATTTTAAAGCCATTAAGATAGTATACTACTGGCAAGAGATTGAAAAAAATCAAAGGAAAAGAATAACCCCGGATACATATCTATACAAATATAGAAAGTGATATGTCACATCAAGTTTAGCTGAATTAAATAACTAAATGAGACAGGTAAACCTCACAACTTAAAAAATAACCATGATAGTATTTCATGGCCTCATGGTGAAATATTTCATATGTAAGAATCAAAAACAGTACTCCATAAAGAGAAATTTAAAATTTGATAAATTAAAATAAATCTCTGTTTATCAAAAGACACCAAAAACAGAATGGAATGACAGGTCACAATGTGGGAGAAGCTATTTGGAATGCATACAGCAGACCAATAATTAATTCCTGATTATATATACAATTTCTACAAATCAAAAGAAAAAGACAATCTAACAGCAAAACGCACCAACAAAAGGAACATCCAATTCACAGGAGAGGAAAACCAAGGAGCACAAAGGTATGCAAATGCTGCATTTGCTACTAATTAAGGAAATGTGAATTAAAGCCACAGTGAAATACCATTACCATCAAATTGGTAAAAAATGTAAAAGTCTGACCGCAAGTGTTGGCAAGGATATGAAACAAAAAGAACTTTCATCTGCTGAGGACAGAGTAAACTTGGGAGAGTAATCTGGTATTAGTTATTAAGTTGAAAATGCTCATTCCCTACCAAGCAACATTAGCGCTTCCAGGTATATGCTTCAGAGGAATTCCTGAGCATATACTCAAGGAAATATATACAATGATGATCAGAACAGCCTTGTTTCTAACATCAAAGATCTAGATACAACCTAAATGTCCATCGACATTGATCACCATTGAAAATGAACTGGATGAACCTCACAAAGAATGGTAAGCAAAAAAGCAATTCACAGAAAACTATTCAAGTAGAAAAAAATGTGTAAGTATGCAAAACAACATTTTATTTAGATTAATACATATATAATAAATGTTTTAAAAATACATGTGCATGATAAACTCCAAATCTAAGATGATGGTTGGATTTGGAATTTATCCAAGATGATGGTTGGATCTGGAGCTCCTCTCTGGGAGACAGGAACAAAATATGGTTATGGAGGACTATCTAGAGATTTCAAATTTATTGCTAATATTTTCTTTTTTTTTTTTTTTGAGACAGAGTCTCCCTCTGTCACCCAGGCTGGAGTGCAGTGGCATGATCTCCGCTCACTGCAACCTCCGCCTCCTGGGTTCAAGCAATTCTCTTGCCTCAGACTCCCAAGCAGTGGGGATTACAGCTGCCCACCACCATGCCTGGCTAATTTTTGTAGTACAGACGGAGTTTCACCATGTTGGCCAGGGTGGTCTCGAACTCCTGACCTCAGGTGATTCGTCTGCCTCGGCCTCCCAAAGTGCTGGGATTACAGGTATGAGCCACCGTGCCCGGCCTATTAATAAAGTTGTGGTGAATAGATACAAGTTATTTACATTATTCTGTACAATTTGGAGGCTTTTTTTTTTTTTGAGACAGAGAGTCTTGCTGTTACCCAGGCTGCAGTACAGTGGGGTGAATATAGCTCACTGCAGCCTCGACCTCCTGGACTAAAGTGATCTTTCCTCCTCAGTTGCCTGTGCACTATGGGCACGCACTACCACTCCTGGCTAATTTTTTATTTTATATAGATGGAGTCTCACCATGTTGCCCAGGCTGGTCTTAAACTCCTGGGTTCAAGTGATTCTCCAGCCTCAGCCTCCGAAAGTACTGAGATTACAGGTGTGAAACACTACACCTGGGCACATTTTATAATTATTTAAACACAACTGAGCAGGCCAGGCATGGTGGCTCATGCCCGTAATCTCAGCACTTTGGGAGGCCAAGGTGGATCACCTGAGGTCAGCAGTTTAAGACCAGCCTGGCCAACACGGTGAAGCCTCATCTCTACTAAAAATACAAAAAAATTAGCCAGGTGTGGTGGCACGCACCTGTAATTCCGCTGCTCAGGAGGCTGAGGCAGGAGAATCACTTGATTCCGGAAGGCGGAGACCGCAGTGAGCCAAGATTGCACAACTGCAACTCTGTTGCCTGGGCAACAGAGTGAGACTCTGTCTCAAAATAAATAAATAAATAAATACAATTGAGCAAACACTTCACATTTGTTTTAGAAAACAATGTTTTGATTACCAGAAGTTTTATAAAAGTTATTCAAAACTGGGCAAAATTAAGACTCTCCATATTATTTCATTCGGAATAATAAATAAAACAAGGTAAAAAATCTGAGTATTAACTTCACAAATAATCATTTCTAAAAGCAACACCACGAATACATTCCTGAAATAATTGTTTTTCAGGGAGAGTAACCTATAAACAATAAAATGTGTGCCACAAAAAACTATTTAATTCATTCAAGTTGTTCATTACTTTCAAGCTGTAAGTAAATCTAAATATACATAAGGAGCTACTACAGTTACACAGTTTCAAAATACAATGGTAGATCCATGTCAAAATTATATTTTAAGTTACAGCAAATGTTTTCTTCCTTCTTTAGGCTATTTTTTTGGTTCACATAAAAATATTTTCCCAACGAATTCTACTGTTGGAACTATTTAGGCCTCACCCAAAATATTTCTCTATTCATTTTCTACCAATCTCAAACAGTAAAGAATAAGTGTTTCACAGCCTGGAAGTTGGCACCAACATAAGAAAATTTTTAATACTTACTGTCCTTTCCCACTTTTGGTGGAGGAAGGGGTAACCCTTAAACATCCATCCAGAACTATTCCTTTTATTAATGTAGTTTGCTACTCTCTGAACCCTCAGCTGTACCACTGCTGTACTTACCACCTTCAGCAAACACAAACTATAACTGATTTTTAATATAAATTTCTATGCAGTAAAGAACAGATCCTTATAAAATTCAAATCCTGACAACTAAACAAATGGTATACTATCACCCTATACTGTAACTAAACTTTAATCTCCAATGGGTAAACCCATTTTACTTACATACGGATTTTGAATTAAACCTAGAAAGCATATCGTCTCTCGAGCTCTGAAAGCAGTGTTTAACCATTACTTTTCAAACTCATAGTCTCTTCTGATAAACCTAAACATCTCCTGCTTACATTTAACATTGTTATCCAGATATAAACTATCATAATATTGAACATTTTTTTTTTCCAAATCACACAGCGTTCCCAGATTCTGATACGTGTCCTGGTTGAGAGCCACTGTATTTAAGAGGAAGATTTAACAACTACCAAAAATAGCATATTTCTAGATGCTTTCAAAGAACTGTAACTCTATCTAGTGAAAAACATAAATGGGAGATAATATAAAATGAATCAACTTACACATATAACATGTTCGTATCCAAGTCAATGCAAACAACATCTTGTGGTGGGTCATGAAGATCAAAATACCTTGAGTCAACTCCAACTATAAACGGTAAAGGTGCACTAAGCACTGCAGCCAGTGAAAGAGGACAAAGGGGAATATATGGGCACTGCCACTGAAATGGAAAGATCATCTGGGAAAAAAGTTTTAAAAATTAACCAAATTTTAAATTTGCAATAAAAATTACATAAGTAACTAGTATTACTGAAAAGGGATCACTGAAAAGCAGTTAATATCACTGTTTTGTTTACCTTAAACTTTATTCCAAAACTAAATGACTATAAAATATTACTAAGCAATACTATGAACAAATGCAATTAAAATTTTCAAGTCATGATGATGATCATTAAACACAACAAAAATACTAACAGCTTTTTGCATATTAATTCTTCTAGTATCTATACAAAGACCACATTCCAATTTTATGGAATCAAAATAAGATAAAATGGCCCAAAATATCATAAAACAAACTTATTATCTTTAACTCTTACACATTTCATTCACCTATTAATTCTCAAAATTACCTCAGATCAAAATCCAACTAAAAGCATCAAGAATTTAAAAAAAAACTAATTACTGTCTAGGGAATGCTAATAGTTAATTAAAGAGCTCAACAAAAAAAAATTATTAACTGTTCAAATAAACATCAGTGATGTCTGGCATCTTAAAAATACTGTCAATAGGCTGGGCACGGCGGCTCACGCCTGTAATCCCAGCACTTTGGGAGGCTGAGGCAGGTGGATCACTTGTGGTCAGGAGTTTGCGACCAGCCTGGCCAATTTTAGTGTTTCTACTAAAACACAAAAATTAGCTGAGTGTGGTGGTGCATGCCTGTAATCCCAGTTATCCTGGAGGCAGAGGCAGGAGAATCGCTTGAACCTGGGAGGCGGAGGTTGCAGTGAGCGGAGTTTGCACCACTACACTCCAGCCTGGGCAACAGAGCAAGACTCTGTTTCAAAAAAAAAAAAAAAGAAACAGTCAATATATAAGATATTCCTCTATCTAGACATGATGAGACAGGAAAAAAAGAGAAAAAAACATTTCTCAAGAATCTTTACCTGTTTTCCTTTACAAAGATTTACTTCAATTGTATCATTTGTGCTTTTCTTAAAAAAAAAAAAAAAGTTTTGATGTTTTTTAAAAAAAGACTAAAACATGTTAAGGCCTAATGCAGTGACTCTCAACACTTTGGGAGGCTGAGGCAGGAGGACTGCTTGAGGCCAGGAGTTCAAGGCCAGCCTGGACAACAGAGTGAGACCCTCATCTCCATAAAAAATAAATAAGTAAATGAATAAATTTTAAAAAAATTTAATAATTAGCTAGTACTAAAATTTTACTGATGATAATTTTTTTCTTCTACTATAAAAATCCCTGTTATCTTTTAAGGTCGAGTTCAATTATCACCCTTATCTGTCATCATTCACCCCAAAGAAATGCCTATAACACTTACTACCTCTGCCAGCTATTACAAAGGGTTATTCAGGATTGGAATTTTGTCTTCAAACATTTATTTAGTTAATATTTGGGCACTTGCTATGTACCAATTACTGTTCTACATAATGAGATCTTAACAATAAATGAAAGAGATCACTCTCCTCATGAGGTTAATAGTTTAAGAGTCAGCAACTTTTTCTGTGAAAGACAGTAAATATTTTAGGCCTTGTGAGCCACATTGTCTCTGTCACAACCATTTAACTCTGCTGTCATGCATGAAAGCAGTCATAGGCAATATATGAATAAATGGCCTATGTTCCAATAAAACTTTATAGAAACAAGTGGCAGGCAGGATTTGGCAGGCAGGATTCAGCCATCATTTGCAAACACCTTGTCTAGCAGAAAGAGAGAAAATAAATGAAAGACATAATAAATAAAATATTATGTTATAGGTTGAACATCCCTAACCTGAAAATCCAAAATCCAAAGTGCTGCAAAATCCAAAACTTTTGAGCACCAACATGACACAGAAAATAAATTGCTCATAGAAGCATTTAGGACTTCAGATTTTTAGATTAGGGATGTTCAACCAGCGTGTATTCTGCAAACATGCCAAAATCCAAAACAATCCTAAATCCAAAGCACTTCTTTCCAAGCATTTTAGACAAGGGATACTCAACCTGTATGTCAGGAAGTAATAAGTGCTACGGAAAAAAAAAAAAAAAGGAAAAGGAAAGCCAAGTGAAGGACATTAGAGTTCAGAGCAGGAGAGAGGAAAAGCAGGTTGTATTAGAACAAACAGGACAGGCCTCATTAATAAAGTGACAACAGAGCTGAAACCTGAAGAAGGTGAGAGATTTAGCCAACGGGATATATAAGAGAAGAGTGCTTCAATGAGAAGGAACAGCTAGGGCAAAGGCCTTAAAGCATGGGGAATGCCTAATGCTCCCAGGAAGGTAAGGCCAGAATGCTGGAGAAGAATGAGCAAGAGGAAGAGTAGTGGAAAATAAGATCAGATTGCTGAGGGGCAGAGCCACTCACAAAGGACCCTGCAAGGACTTCAGATTTCTTGAGTGACAATTATCTTCTATTCAACAAAAGGTGTGTTACAACTGCAACTATCTAAGAAACCTTAGAAAAAAAGCTATGTGCTAGCAAAACATGATATCCTTCTCTTCACTTTTGCCTTTTGCAACACTATAGGGTCACTTTTTATAAAGTACTTGTACATTTCATCAATCTTTGCTATGGGTCTCCATTAATTCTTTGATATTCTTAGATATTTAAATCATTCTCCTTTTGAAGCATTTGTTTTGCGACCATTCTTTTCCATGTTTTCTTCTTCAAATGGTAATTGGCATAACTACCAAATCATGACTTATAAATAATTTTGCATGCAATTCAGACAGCTCTCCAATATCAGTTGCATAAACCTCATATACTCTGGCATTTTTCATATGATTACCAATTCCATGAGCACTTTTTTCAACTGTTCTTGCACCATATTACTGAAATCCATCAAGAGACTTGGCCACCACGATTCCGACAAACGGGATTGAATAAACACTAATGTTTTAGTAAGGAATATTTGGGTGGGAACTTTTTTTTTTTTGAGACGGAGTCTTGCTCTGTCGCTAGGCTGGAGTGCAGTGGTGCACCCTCAGCTCATAGCAACCTCCACCTCCCGGGTTTAAGTGATTCTCCTGCCTCAGCCTCCTGAGTAGCTGGGACTACAGGCATAAGCCACCACATCCAGCTAATTTTTGTATTTTTAGTAGAGATGGGGTTTCACCATGTTAGCCAGGATGGTCTCGATCTCTTGACCTCGTGATCCACCTGCCTTGGCCTCCCAAAGTGCTGGGATTACAGGCGTGAGCCACTGCGCCTGGCCTGGGTGGGAACTTTCTAAAACTGGTCAGTTCATTAACAAATATTTTCATATTCTAACAACTTTTGCCTTCACACACAACTGTGATAACTTGGAAAAGTAATACTTAATGAGGATCCTCCTAGAAGCTGTCTCATATGGTTACTATTGTTTTCAGTCCAACAGCACTTCTCCAACCAGATTAAGATCTTGGAGACATACCCTATTTGCTGTTTTAACAAGTATTTATTGAGGGCCTACTCTGTGCTAGGCAACTGTAACAAGTGCTGAAAATACAGGAGTAAATAAGAGATTAGGTCCTTACTCCCAGGAGACTTACATTCTTAAAATGGGGAAGGGAAGAGAGGAGAGTCAGCTATTTTAAATTAAACAACTAATGGGTGATAGGGTTGGAGAAGTGGAATATCTAAAGTTCTACACAATGGCCTATAAAACCCTATACAATCAGACTTCATTTTTTTTTTTTTTTTTTTTTTTTTTTTGAGACGGAGCCTCACTCTTGTTGCCCAGGCTAGAGTACAATGGTGTCATCTCAGCTCACCGCAACCCCCGCCTCCTGGGTTCAAGCAATTCTCCTGCCTCAGCCTCCCAAGTAGCTGGGATTACAGGCGTGTGCCACCATACCCAGCTAACTTTGTATTTTCAGTAGAGAGGGGTTTCTCCATATTGGTCAGGCTCGTCTCGAACTCCTGATCTCAGGTGATCCGCCTACCTCGGCTTCCCAAATTGCTGGGATTACAGGCGTGAGCCACTGTGCCTATCAATCAGACTTCATTCTAAGTGCAATGGGAAGCCAAAGGGTTTTAAGCAGGGAACAACTTTAATAACAATTTAACAATTTAATTTTACTTACGCTTTACACAAGAGCTTAGCCTCTGTATATTATCCTATTTCACAATCACTTAGAATTTCCTATATATTCCTGATTCACAATTATTAAAAGTTGAAATAGGGAGAAATTAACCATGTAATCATTTGCATAATTTTAGAACAGCTGAAATTGGTCAGAGACTCTCAATACAATCAGCTTCATTCTCAGGTTTTATTATACAATCATATAGTTTTTACTCTGGGAAGAACTCTAAAATATGAAAAATTGGAAATTGAGATTTTTCCTAAAATAGATATCACCTTTGTTTTCTTTATACTTCCTACTTCTCTTTGCCAGCAGATTATATTCGACTTTTACCGGGCGGGTAATTTTTCAAAGTTACTTTTTGAAAATTTGTTGTTGCTTTCAAAGTTGCTGTTTTTGAAGGAAATTTCCCTTTGGAGTAAAAATTATCTGTCAGTAATTTTGTACTAAAAGGAAAATTCTATACTTACAGCTACAACAGCTTCAGCTACCCCAGTCAAGACAGCTGGCCTAAGAGAATGCAGCAGAATTTTACTCTCAAGTAAAACAAAGAGCAGCAGTGTTGCACAATTCTCAGGACCCAGATTCATTAGCAAGGTGCTAAAGTTGGCTCCACTAGGAAAAAAAAGAGAAAAATAGATCATTGTGAACTATTTTGCTAAGATATGTTAAGATTTGCTTATTAAATTATTTCTTAAGTATTAACAGATTGAGAGTCTAGTGTTAATTTCAAGTCTTTACTTGTTTATCAATGAAAAGTAGCAAATTTAATAAGATAGATAACTGGGAGATTTAAATTCATCCTCTGGTAATAAAAGGCATTTATCAAGAAAGATTTTCCTGAATAGCCATTTGAGTTGAACTCAGAAGAAAGGAGACAAGGATAGGAGTGAAGGGGTGACAGACAATATATGCAAGGGCCCCGGGGCAAGAAAAAGCTGTTGTCATAGCCAAGAAATTGAAATAAATCTATTGTGACTAAAGCATAGTAAGGGAAAGGATGAAAACAGCAACAGATTAGGCTGAAATTGAAATATACTATTATATTTGCATTTTCAAAAGGACACACTGGCTACAGGGTGGATAAAGAACTGAAGGAAGATGAGTAAAAAGGTACCAGTTAAGAGGCTAGTAGTGAGGTAGTCTGGTAAGACATCATGGAAGTCTACTATGATGAAGATGAAAAGAAGTAAATGGATTCGAGATATTTAGAAAGCAAAAATCAGCTCACCTTAAACCTTTAGTTATGAACTGGATATGGGAAGGGGAGATGAGAAGAAAAGGGAAGTGTCCTCTACATCCAATCTTGCAACTCTCTGAATTGTTCACATTTATAAAACAGCCCCACCATCCATCTAGCTATCAAAGCCAGAAACATTAAGGCTGTTTTTGCCTAGTTTTAACTAATAGAGTTAATTGTAAAATAACAATTAACTTTATTATACTAATCACTAAAATATTTTAAAGCATTCTGCTCCAAGTGAATACATATATCATTCTAAATACTAGTAATTACCTTAGTGGTAAAGGTGTAGAAACTGGCTGTGATAATATTAATGCATCATGGACTGACAGCTTAAAAAAAAAAAAAAGCAACATAAATTAACCAAAACAAGATATGTTTCAAAACTACTTGTGAAATCTATATATTTAGATCAAAGGTAATACTGAAAACAACAATTTAATATGCAAACACGCTTTTTGAAACGTACTAAAATATAAAACGATAGCTGTAATTACTCAGAAGTGTTACATTAGTTCTTTTTTAATAAATGGTTAATTTGAATTTTGATTCACTTAATTGGTTAAAGTACAATTATTTAAAATTTATGGAATTACTGCTTCAGAAAAGCTTCAAATTCATTTACTCAACAGACTGTAGGCACTTGGCAGTTGCTTCGCACATTAATACTTGCAGAACTGAAATAACATTCAATATCAACAATATCTGACTTAATCCTACCATACATAATGTTAAGAATGTCTTAGAAAAACTTTTAAATGGCTTCCTTCTATAGATCAATGCTATTCAAAGTATGTTAAGTATGCCAGTATGTTAATTGTTATGGTCCAGAAAGATATACTATACAAATGAAGAGCAAACCACTAAGCAACTTTTATGACAATCTGACCTCTCTCCCATATCCAAGCACGTAATCAGTGGAACTATTATTATACAGAGGGTATAGACCTGTTCGTGTTGCATATGTCACAAGCTGTATACCTACCTACGTCTGCTACTTACTGAAAACAAAAAACTGGTCCTTTAGCATAGTACTATTATAGACCTTGTTTAAGTTAACCCCCTCCAACCATTGCTCATTTCATATTTAATATTTATTAGAGAATCTGATATTAAGAACATGCTCAAACATAATCCTGGGTTTTACATTATTAAAATTAGCTACACAAAGGCCATGCATGGGCCAAAAATGAAAATGTTATGAACCAAGGGTCATAATTATTCCAATTCTGTACATTCAAATCCAAAACCCAGTAAGAAAGGATGTTCAGTAAAGCTACAAAGCACAGAAAATCCAAGGACTTTACGAATGCATATTGCTCCACCTCAAACCCAAAGGTATATAGAATCCACTCTGCAATGACTGGGGTGAGCATATGCAAAGTTCTCCCCAAATATACTCTCTTTTGGTTACCTGGACAAGGATTCTCGGTCTTTGTGGTGAAGGAAAAGGGATGTTTTGCATAAAATGTGAAATGTGCCTAGAAAAAAAATTTGAAATAAATATCATAATTACTTTTCTAAAATGAATCACAGGTTTTAACAAATCTTAAATATCACTATATATCATCCCAGATATGACATGGCCATTTATCTAAAATGTAGGCTAAGTAAGTAAATTTGTTTAGTGTAAACGAATTTATCCATGCCCATCAAACTTCTGAAATACACAATGTATTTCCTGACTTCTATTCCCATCCCCTATCATTACCAGATGAATAAAAATAACATAAAAACAGTTTTCATGAAAGGAGTGAATTTTTATAGCCCTGGTTATCCGTGCCAGTACAGGGAGCAACTAACTGTGCTATAATGAATTTACACTAAAACTGAATTTAATCCCAGATTTACTACTCTAACATTGGATGAACCACCTACCCATTCTATTTCTGCACCTATAAAAATTACTTCTTGCCGGGCGCGGTGGCTCACGCCTGTAATCCCAGCACTTTGGGAGGCCGAGGCGGGCGGAGAGACCACAGTGAAACCCCGTCTCTATTAAAAATACAAAAAATTAGCCAGGCACGGTGGCGGGTGCCTGTAGTCCCAGCTACTCAGGAGGCTGAGCCAGGAGAATGGCGTGAACCCGAGAAGCGGAGCTTGCAGCGAACCGAGATCGTGCCACTGCACTCCAGCCTGGGCGACAGAGCGAGACTCCGTCTCAAAAAAAAAAAAAAAAAAAAAATTACTTCTTAAGTTTCTCCAAAGTTTAGAGCTTCTTAGGAGCCACAAAAATGCAACATATTACTTCAACTGAAAAAGATATTGATTATATACATTGATTTTATTTTCACAAGCTATTCATAGAATCTTAATTTTTCAAAAGGTTGCTAACTTGTCACTAACATTACATTTTACTTCAAAAAACTTCAAATTAATCTGACAGCTGAATGTTAAACCCAGAACTATAAATCATTAAATTGCCATTTCGAGAGTGCAAAATGAAAGTTGCAACCGTATTTCAATATCAAATTATGATGAGTTTATGCACAGTACTTTACTCTTTCAAAAGGTGATTTTTGGACAGCATTGTTTTTAAACCTGTGCATAATTACCCCTACCTTATCCACTAAACTAGTATGTTTCACTGATATTCTTTCTGCTATAATGTAAAAGTTCTGAAATTGTAAGAAACATCTACGTTTACACATACTTTAATACATTACAGAAAGCTCTTGACACTTTTTGGTTTGTCGGCAGGATACATAAATTATAAACTATCATAAACAGAAGTCAGTGTGCCACTAGAAATCAGAAAAGATCATTTAAAAAAGAGTAGCTCAACATACATTTTTCTTGCTTAGGAAAGATTGCATGACAAAAAGAATTACAAACTAAAGAGAAAGCTCAAAGAATTTCTGTCAATGCTAAAACAAAACTTCACTTTTAACATCAATTAACTTATTCATACTAATTTCGACATCACTTTAGAGAGGTATTATGGTTAGATTTTGGAATGGCCACTTGTATGGGCGGGTGGGTGTGTGTGCAGCAGTAACTATTTGTCTCTCAGTTATTAGAGAATAAATAGGAAGAAGAACACTCACAATATAATTTATGTAAGTTACTTCTTCAGGTGAATTCTCAAAAGATTATTATTTGGCCATCCTTGCCACTACTATCCAATTTTAAGCTCACAGTCAATGATTGAGGTGAAGAAGGGAGTAAGTAAAAAGTTGGTGGCTCATGCCTGTAATCCCAGCACTTTGGGAGGCTGACGCAGGTGGATCATGAGGTCAGGAGTTCAAGACCAGCCTGGCCAAGACGGTGAAACCCCGTCTCTACAAAAATTAGCCAGGCGTGGTGGCGGGTGTCTGTAATCCCAGTTACTCGGGAGGCTGACACAGAGAATTGCTTGAACCCAGGAGGTGGAGGCTGCAGTGAGCCGAGATGGCGCCACTGCACTCCAGCCTGGGTGATGTCTCAAAAAAAAAAAAGTGGGGTAAACGTAGCCTTCCTTCCCTTCCAACTTTGCTGCTAAAAGTTACACAAACAATCAAACATATATACTTATATACCCAGTTTTCCACCAGCCATCTTTCTAATCATATACATACTTTTCAATGGGAAGAGGATGTGGTCCAGACACAGAAAGTTTGTAGATAAACATAAGAAATTTCCTAAAAGCGTCAAAAAAAGGCCAGTGTGAGAGTAAACAAATGCATTTGTTTGTATTGATGGATTTGGAGACCATTTTTCTCTCCACAGGCGTCAATAGGCCCAGTTGCATAAGCTGTTTCTCTGATAGAAGTTCCCGAGAGTAAGGTTCATAAAACTGAATGGCAGCTCCATATACCTAAAGAGTAAGAGAATTCTGTTATAAGATTTGAGTTTGTTTGAAAAAAATTAGCTTCTCTTTTTCTCTTATTACACAAGAAATATTTGCTTGGAGTATACTTATACAGATAAATTACGGAAAAAAAAAAAACTCACCCAAATTTCTACCCCAGAGATAACCATATTTTGATATAAATCCCTCAAGATTTTTTCCACAGAATTTTATACATTCAACTATAAATCTTATACAAAAAGGGACGGTAACCTCTTATAACTTGCTTTTATTTTTAAAATGAAAGCATTAGAGAATGAACTCTAATGACCTCACTCAACTTAGTTTTTTGTGTGATTTTTTTTTTCTTTCTTTTTTTTTTTTTTTTTTTGGGATAGAGTCTCACTCTGTCACCCAGGCTGGAGTACAGCAGCGTAATCTCAGCTCACTTCAACCTCCACCTCCCAGGTTCAAGTGATTCTCCTGCCTCAGCCTCCCGAGTAGCTGGGACTACAGGCGTATGCCACCACACCCAGCTAATTTTTTTTTTTTTCCTTTTTTTTGAGACAGAGTCTTGCTGTGTCACCTACACTGGAGTGCAGTGGCGCGATCTCGGCTCACTGCAAGTTTCGTATCCTGGGTTCACGCCATTCTCCTGCCTCAGCCTCCCAAGTAACTGGGACTACAGGTGCCCGTCACCACGCCCAGCTAATTTTTTGTATTGTTAGTAGAGACAGGCTTTCACCATGTTAGCCAGGATGGTCTTGATCTCCTGACCTCATGATCCACCCACCTCAGCCTTCCAAAGTGCTCGGATTACAGGCGTGAGCCACTGCACCCGACCTAACTTTTTGTATTTTTAGTAGAGATGGGGTTTCACCGTGTTAGCCAGGATGGTCTTGATCTCCTGACCTGGTGATCCACCCGCCTTGGCCTCCCAAAGTGCTGGGATTAGAGGCGTGAGCCACTGTGCCTGGCCTGTGATTTTTTTTAATTGGGGTAAAATATACATAACATAAAATGTACCACCTTAACCATTTTCAAGTGTACAATTCACTGGTATTAAGTACCTTCACACTGGAGTGCAACCAGTTATCACTATTCATTTCCAGAACTTTTTCATTACCCGCCCCCCAAACAAAAGCTCTGTGACCCTTAAATGGTAACTTCCCATTCTCTGGCCCTCAATCCAAGTCCCTTTGTAATCTCTATTGCACTTCCTGTCTCTATAAGGGTAGCTATTCTAGGTACCTCCTATAAGTGGAATCATACAAAATTTATTCTTTTGTGTCTGGCTTATTTCACTTAGAATAATGTTTTTAAGATTCACCTATATTGTAGCACATACCTGACTTTCATTCCTTGTTAAGGAATAAATCATAATTCCATCATATCTATATACCATATTTTGTGTATCCATTCATACGTTGATGCACGTTTGGGTTGTTTCCACCTTTTGCCTATTGTGAATAATCCTGCTAAAACATTGGCATACAAGTATCTGTTTGAGTCTCTGCTTTCAGTTATTCCAGGTACATGCCTAGGCATGAAACTGCTGGATCGTATGGTAATTCTGTGTTTAACTTTTGGAGGAGTTGCAGAAGCAGCATTTGACTTTCTCATCAGCAATGTTCACAGGTTCAATTCCTCCACACCCTCACCTCATATGACACAAGACAGAGCTGACACTCCTCTGAAATTCTTTATTCCTTTGCTGTCTTTGACAGTACAAATTTCTCTTTGTTTCATGGCTACTTCTCTCTTTCCTATACTAGATCCAATTATGTCACCCCCCATCATTTAAATACTAGCATTCCCTAAGGTTCTAGCTTCACACTTCTATTTGGAAAAATTCATTCTCTCACGGTTTTAACTATAATCATTATACTAACAGAACACAAATCTTTATCTCTAGGTCTACCTGATCTCTCCCCTGAACCTCAGACTCCTATTTTCAAAATGACTACTCAATAATCTCCACTTGGATGTCGTACAGGCATCCCAAACCAATATTTTCAAAAGTGAACTCATTATCTAAATACTTCATCCAATATTCCTGATCTTACTCAGTTACGCTACACAATTCCCAAGCTAGAAACTTCGAAGTCATGCTCAATTCCACTTCCACTTACCACATATCAAAGCAACTACTGAAGCCCTAACTGGTCTCAAGTCAGAAGAGAAAGTATTTTAGTGAAAAGTACACTGAAGAAATAGTCCTTCAGAGGTAACATCTGATCCTTCAAAAGTTCCTCATTACAGGTAAAATGCCACAGTCCATATAAGTGGCAAGATGCTCTCAATTCCTAATAGTACCTGCTGTTGTTGTTCAACAATACAGAGCTACCAGGTACACAAACTTGTTCATAATTTTGTGCCTTTGTATATTTTGTTTAGCCTTGGTACTTCCTCTGATCTGCCCATTCCTTAATACCCATCCCCTTCTCCCAACAATCAATCCTTACTTCTGTATTTTATAAATCTTGCCAACTGTTTAGTCATTATATATATCACAGGAACCCTTGCCTTTACACACACAACATTCCCAGATACAATTATTTCAAAGTGATCTCAAAGGTTTTAACCCATCCCCTTCTCCCAACAATCAATCCTTACTTCTGTATTTTATAGATCTTGCCAACTGTTTATTCATTACATATATCACAGTAACCCTTACCTTTATACACACAACATTCCCAGATACAATTATTTCAAAGTGATCTCAAAGTTTTTAACAAGCAGTGACAAATGTATAAACATACATTTTACACACCTCAATGCTTACATGTCAATATCCCCTAAACAATGAATAAGCCAAGCAGATCACCCAGTATTCACATCTCAAATGAGACTTTATTGTTCTCTACTGCCAAAGTATATTAGGTAACTAATGTTTGAAGATCTTAAAATTTTCAGTTATATTTACTACTTTCAGCAGGATAAATTGTAAACGATTATTAAGCTAACAAGTTAGCAGTGGGCAATCAAGTTAATATTGACCTTCACTCAGTATTTTCTGTGTTCCAGGCACTATGCTGGATACTTTACATGTATTATCTTTAACACAGTGGTTGTAAAGGTGTAGCCTGTACCTGTAGAATGAGGTCACAGATGTATTTTGTTTCATCCGCATGAGTCAGTTCAGATTATATATTTTTTCAATAAAATCACCTGTTTTATTAAATTTCTTTAGAACATTTTCAATTTTTGCTGGGCGCGGTGGCTCACGCCTGCAATCCCAGCACTTTGGGAGGCTGAGGCGGGTGGATCACCTGAGGTCAGGAGTTCAAGACCAGCCTGGCCAAGACGGTGAAACCCCGTCTCTACAAAAATTAGCCAGGCGTGGTGGCGGGTGTCTGTAATCCCAGTTACTCGGGAGGCTGACACAGAGAATTGCTTGAACCCAGGAGGTGGAGGTTGCAGTGAGCCGAGATGGCGCCACTGCACTCCAGCCTGGGTGATGTCTCAAAAAAAAAAAAGTGGGGTAAACGTAGCCTTCCTTCCCTTCCAACTTTGCTGCTAAAAGTTACACAAACAATCAAACATATATACTTATATACCCAGTTTTCCACCAGCCATCTTTCTAATCATATACATACTTTTCAATGGGAAGAGGATGTGGTCCAGACACAGAAAGTTTGTAGATAAACATAAGAAATTTCCTAAAAGCGTCAAAAAAAGGCCAGTGTGAGAGTAAACAAATGCATTTGTTTGTATTGATGGATTTGGAGACCATTTTTCTCTCCACAGGCGTCAATAGGCCCAGTTGCATAAGCTGTTTCTCTGATAGAAGTTCCCGAGAGTAAGGTTCATAAAACTGAATGGCAGCTCCATATACCTAAAGAGTAAGAGAATTCTGTTATAAGATTTGAGTTTGTTTGAAAAAAATTAGCTTCTCTTTTTCTCTTATTACACAAGAAATATTTGCTTGGAGTATACTTATACAGATAAATTACGGAAAAAAAAAAAACTCACCCAAATTTCTACCCCAGAGATAACCA